CTGTGCAGAGGGGTAGAGGAATCCGAGAGGAATACCTGATTAGGTGGGCAGGCTACACTGCAGCTGACGATCAGTGGGTTCCAAAGCTTGACGTAGGACTACCGTTAATCAAGGCATATCACAAGAAACAGACGCAGAAGGCAATGTAGTGTATTGTTCTAAACTAAGGCAAAAAACAACGCGTCAAGTTCCGAAGGAGAAGGGCTCACAGACCCAGAAGCAGACCCTGACCCAGACCTAGAAGAAACGTGCGCGTCAGACAAGGGGGCGACGATGGGGGCAGGGCGTGGATTGAAGCGCCACTGGTCTGGACGCACAAACAAAAGCTCAAAAAGAGCATGATCGTGATCCGCAGGCGTAGGCAGGAGAATAGGTCCTACTGACAGGCGCGGAGGGCAGGACAGGTGTAATGGTGGGTGCACCAGATATGAGAATCTAGCCACCCAAGGAAGGGATGAATTTACTAAGACAACACACTGTCTTAGGAAACAGAGCCAAAGGGTTGTAGCTTAGACTATTCCACAACGCAGCAATCAGGTGTATGATGTGGTGAAGTGGTTTAGACAAGTTGCAACAAATGTTGAGTCTGAGAACTCAGGGGTAAGTCAGAGGTTAGCACCTCACTGACTTTTCAAAAACAGAGAATAACAAGATCAATGCTTGGAAGCTTGGAAAAGACGTAGAAGTATGTGCTAGTCGATTTACTGTATTGCCTGCTTGCCCTTTCTTAAGGAAAGGGCAATCCTATTTATGCCAAAGGAGTGTAGTTCTCTTATTTTCCATGACTTTCCATGACTAACCAGGCTTGGTAAATGTATTAGAAATCAAGTGCGACCCACAACTAGCTTGCTAATCATGTAGTGAACGTAAGAGAATCCCATAGAACCATCTCTTGGGTTCCTAGCCTATAGGAAGTGAAAAGGAGGTCCAAGGTCAGAGTACCTATAGACAAATTATGTCATAACTTAACCAATCTTGTGGGTAACTAAGGAGCGATGACGTGTAATGAATCATAGAGGGTTGTAGAAGCTTCTAGAGCTATCGTTCATGTTCCTAGGCCTCTAGTTGGTAGAGATATGCCATGTGGTAGTATTGGCCCACCCCCTTAAGGAGGAGATTTTCTTAATAACTTGTTCAATGAGTGTCCAAATGATATGCCGTGATGTATGTAGCATAAACAGATGTAGTAGAAGAGTTTTCAGCAATCGTTGAGTAGTATTGCTTCTGTTGTTGGTGTGATAAGCCCAGATATGTATGGTGACTTGTAGGTTTGAGGAGGAGATTTCTAAGTTTGCTCTTGAGTTTGATAGCAAACTGAGTGCAACGAATGTCAGTATGACAACAGGCCTCACTCGAGCTACCCACAGGGTCAGCAAAACGTCCAGGAAGGATGGGAATCACAAACCTACGACAAACTTCAGGGCGGCGACGTGGGTGTTGAGGCCAACCTGGTAGGCGTCTAGAGCCGCATCAGTAGCGGCGTGGAACGTAGCAGCAGCAGCCTTGAGAGCCTTGGTGTTGGCCTGATCCAGCTCAGCAAGGGTCTCAGCGTGGTGAAGAAGGGCTTGGCGTGGGTCGTTGAGGTTGCGGACGACGGGGCCCCCAGCCTCAGGGAGAGGCGCAACAGGTTCCTCGTGGAAGGACATAGCAGCTCTCTTACCCTTATTCTTGACCTTCGGGGTGCGAGGCTCCTTGCCCTTATCAGCGGTAGTGAACTCGCGTTGGGCAAAGAGGAGGGAGGCCAGAGCCTCACGGGTGGCGACCGAATCATCTTCCAGCCCAGCGTCCTCGTCGTCAGCGCAACAGTTCAAATAGGCGTCGGCCTTGAGCTGCAGGGCAGTGAGGGCATCCTTCTGATCAGGACCGACCTGCCTGGTTGTCAGCATATCCCACTAAGAAGGAAAAGGAGGCCTACCGGAACGCAGCGGTGGTTTCCTTGGAGACAGTCGCCGCACTTGTCCAAGCCAACAGGATCCCAGCAGATCTGTCCAGGATAGTTGTAATAGGTGACCGAACACTTGACGCAGCAGTCGCGGGAGCCTGCGCGAAGGGGACCAACAGACTCTGGAACTGGGCGGCGCGCAGAAAGCTTCCACCCCAGCGCCGTACGCATCTCCTTGGCAGCCAACTGAGCAGCGACCTCCTCCTCCTCTGGAGCGTCCTCAACCGAAGGTGATCGGTAGGGACGCACGGTGCGAGGGCGAGAGGTGGATGCAATGGAAGCAGGACCGAAGGGAGTAGGGGTGGCAGGTGACTCCAACTCGGGAGACCCAGACATCTGGGTGGAAGAGCGCTTGAGAGGGGTGGCGACAGGCGCCACTGTCTTCTTGGGCTGCTTGCGCGGAGCCATGATTGACGGAACTAATCCACAGATCAGTCCCTGAAGACGAAGGAAGGAAGGGAGGTAAATACCTTGCGAAGAGGGAGTAAGCCTTGAAGCAAACCTTGGAAGAGAATCAAAAGGAAGAAGCCAAGAACCCAGAGGAGCGCGCACTTGGTGTGAGGTTGTGTGAGGAAAGTAGGAAGTTGGGTAGGAAGTGGGAGTTAAGCGCGACGCCCACAACAACTGGGGGTGGCCGTGGCACAACAACAAGGGGGGTCACGGGACCCCCCTGACAGGCGGAGTTCGATAACAACAACCCACCCTACGCGCGAGCAAACAAGCCAAACAAGCCCAAACAAGGGCGCAATCAGCCCTGATCTCTATGCCTGGAATTGGGGGCAATTCCCTAGAAGGGGGAGGTAATTGTAAGGCGGCCCTCACGTGAGGGCACGTGAGGTGCCACACTCTTACAGTGGGCCTGGTGGGCTCAGTAAATTAGGGCCTACGGGTTCCTGTATATAAGGGGCTGGAGGCTCGGAGTGAGGCCTCCAGTCAATAGTCGCTGTATCAGCGTAGACCTATTGTGCTTCACACCAATATAACCCTTACTTCCTGCCTCCTGACCTGGTTCCCTGAACTCCCGTGACACCCTGGGCCCTACGCCTTTACACTTATACTTAGATCCATTTGCTAAGTAGCAGATTGCTATAATAGGTGTTTGTAGCTTAATGGCTGTTGTAACCATTTCTGTCATACTGACATTCATTGCACTCAGTTTGCTATCAAACTCAAGAGCAAACTTAAAAATCTCCTCCTCAAACCTACAAGTCACCATATATATCTTGGCTTATCACACAACAACAAGAGCAATACTACTCAATGATTGCTGTAAACTCTTCTACTACATCTGTTTATGCTACTGTAAAGGCGTAGGGCCCAGGGTGTCACGGGAGTTCAGGGAACCAGGTCAGGAGGCAGGAAGTAAGGGTTATATTGGTGTGAAGCACAATAGGTCTACGCTGATACAGCGACTATTGACTGGAGGCCTCACTCCGAGCCTCCAGCCCCTTATATACAGGAACCCGTAGGCCCTAATTTACCGAGCCCTCCAGGTCCACTGTAAGAGCGTGGCACCTCACGTGCCCTCACGTGAGGGCCGCCTTACAGCTACATACATCACGGCATATCATTTGGACACTCATTGAACAAGTTATTAAAGAAAATCTCCTCCTTAAGGGGGTGGGCCAATACTACCACATGGCATATCTCTACCAACTAGAGGCCTAGGAACATGAACGATAGCTCTAGAAGCTTCTACAACCCTCTATGATTCATTACACATCATCGCTCCTTAGTTACCCACAAGATTGGTTAAGTTATGTCATAATTTGTCTATAGGGGTACTCTGACCTTGGACCTCCTTTTCACTTCCTATAGGCTAGGAACCCAAGAGATGGTTCTATGGGATTTTCTGACGTCGACTACAGTTACCAAGCCTGGTTAGTCATGGAAAGTCATGGAAAATGAGAGAACTACACTCCTTTAGCATAAATAGGCTTGCCCTTTCCTTAAGGAAGGGCAAGCAGACAATACAGTAAATCGACTTTTCCAAGCTTCCAAGCATTGATCTTGTTACTCCTTGTTTCTGAAAAGTCAGTGAGGTGCTAACCTCTGACTTATCCCTGAGTTCTCAGACTCAACATTTGTTACAACTTGTCTAAACCACTTCACTACATCATACACCTGATTGCTGCGTTGTGGAATAGTCTAAGCTACAACCCTTTGGCTCTGTTTCCTAAGACAGTGTGTTGTCTTAGTAAAATCATCCCTTCCTTGGGTGGCTAGATTCTCACATCTGGTGCACCCACCATTACACCTATCAGATGTTGGTTTTAGATGGGCATGAGAGTTATGAGTCGGCTGCATTCCACGAGTATTTCAAGGACAACAACATTATAACTCTCTGTCTACCTCCTCAATCATCTCACTTAACTCAGCCACTTGATGTTGGATATTTTAGTGTTCTTAAACGCATCAGATTCAGACCTTCATTAAGACTCATATAAACCATATTACCAAAGTCGAGTTCTTTCTAGCTTTTCACAAAGCTTACAACCAGTTAATAACAACTCAAAATGCGATGGCTAGATTCCGCGGAGCTGGTTTGGTACCCTTTAATTCACAATTGATTATTTCAAAGCTAGATTCATTGAGGGTTAAAATGTTTTCAGACGCCGCAATATTAGCACTGTATTTAGATAAAGAGAGAACAAATTAAAGTTATAGGCTGGCGCAAGATATAGATAATTCTCAAGTATCACAAGTCCCCTACGGCATCGTATTTGATAATCTCCAAGAACGGAGACCTAGTGGGCTACTGAAATTCACAACTTTATCAACTCTTTATTAAACCAGTCGCTGAAGGTTCGGTGAAAGGTATTGAAGGATACAGCAAAGTGAATACACAAGCTGAGCTTGCACCAGCGGTAGAGAAGATTTCCAGGTAAACCCCATCGCAGGTCTCACACCAGCAGGCTACTCTTCATTACCAGCGTGTGCTGCAGTCAACGGCATTCCGTTTGAAGATTTGATAGCTCAAATCGTCGACAGTGCGATTGAAAGGACACATAATCATAAACTATCATGATGTATAGCTACAAATGAAGTGATTCATTGATGGGATTTTTATACTCAAAGCTACAACTTGGTCTCTCCCAGATGTGGTATTATATGACAACCTGACATCCTGGCACCCTGAGGTGCATGCCTTACCCCTTGACCTGCCCGCTCACCCCAAAGTGTTTGGTATCGCGGTGTCTCATGCAGACCCTCACCGTTGGCACACTAACTATACCATAGACTCAGATCTGCATTCAACATTACACTAGTTTTGCCAGATGATAAAACCGAGATATCGAACCAGTTTCATGCTGCCACTAGTCCCTCGCCGCCAAATAGTCCTCTTATAAAGTCAAATAAACGCCTGAATATGCCTGGGTATCATACGCCGAATTGTTACGGGTGTGCCTCTTTCACGCCGAAGGTGTCTCGTGTATCACAACGAGCAGATATTTCGAATCAGGGACAATGACCAACTCGTACTTTTTAGTTCGCAATCGTAGCAGTTTAACTTCGTCCTATAGTTCCCTGTCAGCAGTAATCACCCAGTCATGAGAGGCCATCCTTACCTGTTCATCGAGGCCTTGGACCAGATCTTTTGTGGCGTTCATGTAGTTCCAGACCATGCGGGCCAGCTCTTCGACCCCATTTTGATCCTTAAGGCCAGACGAAGCGTCGTCAGGAACGGCTGCTGGAACTGATTGGCTAGACCCAGAAGTAGATCGAATCGAAGACAATGTGCCGGAAGTATTCAGTATCGCGCCGCTGGTTCGGTCCAGGACAATAGTTGCCAACACTCCCGTCTTCTTCGAAAGGCGGTCCAGCGACTCTATGAACTGGTCCGAGGAATTTGATCCCTTGCGCTCGTCAGCTTACAGCCAGATAAATTGAGAGGTAGAAGGCATTTACAGTGCCCAATGGCAGTGATTGCGCCATTATCCTGCGTGTGAGATGGTGATGTTCGGCGAGGCTCTGGAGCTTCTTGGGACTCCACTCCACCCACCATACCCAAAAATCAGGCTCACAGACGAGGCGCAAGGCAGCAAAATCGCAAGGCTGAAAAATATAACCACCATGAAAAGCAGGACTTGCAATTACCACTTGATCATACGACAGACAATATGGGTTCCAGTGCTAGAAAAAAGGCCGAGAAGAAGAAGGACTTCAAGGTAATACTCCGGAATCCACCTAATAAATACTGGGGAGAGTTTTCTAACGAAATGCTGCACAGAAACCGAAGTTGCGGGTTGGAAAAGCCAAAGCAAAGCCGGATAATTTCACAGACACCAGCTTCAAATCCCGATGTAAGCTTATATTTTATTACTACACTCCAGTTTTTGCAAATCGCAAACGAATTATGCATTCTCGGCATTCAGCCAATGCACGTCTTTTCTGATCGATGTCGCAACTTCTCAACATCAGGACGCTTAAAATGTAATAGCCATCACCATCAACCAGCAATCTCTCACGACCTCTGCACCCTCTTCTTCCGTCCAATTCGAGCATTACCTCTCTCTCGCCTCTTCCTCCAAGTCCGACGCCCAACGACGAGATGCCTTATCCTACCTCATCACCCAAGTCTCGTCCCAGCCAGTCAACGCACCGATACCAGTCTCTGCCGCGATCATGCTCCCAAGGCTATACCCCTTGATACTCGACGGCTCACAATCAGTACGGACACAGCTGCTTAAATTCCTACGTCTCCTCCCAGCAAAGGATGTTGGTGTCCTAGCCGAGTTTGCGCTTCTCTACATCAGAGCCGGCATGACACATCTCGCGGTAGAGATCCGCAACGACGCCCTGTCAGTACTAGAATGGCTCGTGGAAACAGCGCCAGAAGACGTTGTCTCTTGCCCCGGCGGCTGGTTCAAGACCCTCGATTCATTCATGCGGATGATGGGCTGGGCCATCAGCGTGGGCTCAACAAAGTGGTCCGCAGCAGCCAAGGTTACATTCGGGAAGGGTGGGAAGTCGTTTCCGAGGCAGATTACGGTTCTTGTTCAGTTCCTGAAAGCCGGGCTAAGCAGGATGGCCACTGAGGAGTCCTTCCGGCGCGGGAGCTGCTTTCCGTTGTGGGATGCAGATATCCATGTCATCTCCGCACAGGCGAGTCCCTTTGCCCACCTGAACCTGTTCGGGCCGGGACGAGATGAGGAGAGCGAGATGTACACGGAGCGGGAGAGCAGGCAGCGGGTTTTCCGTCTGCGTTTCCAGACGTCAGTCGATAAGGGAATTGAAAGCGCAAAGAAGAAGGGGGGAGAGATGGGGAGAGCGGGTGCGATCCTTGGAAAGGTTGTCACGGAATCCATGGACGATTATGATGAGATAGGCAATCCGACGGATCACCCATAAAAGTAAGTTGAGCGGTTGCATATATGGAGTACAGGTTTAGGAGTTTAGATACCATAGGGTCATGGGTGGAATGATATGGGTGGTTTATAAAACAAAATATGAAGAAATGATAGGATCTGTACTCTATATTTTAAATGTTCATAGGTTTCTTAATGGTGTATAGTTCTATTTTTTAGAAATACTGTCTGTTGCGCAGTTTGGTGCCTAACTTGTGCCATCTCACGGCCGACACGATCAAGGGCATGTAACTAAGATATGTCCGACTTATCTACGCCCTCTTGCTGTAGCTTCCATAATCTAACTGTATCTAAACATCATAAAGCTTCTATTGTACTGACGCAAATATGTCTCTATCATTATCATCAACAATTTCACTAGCAGGTTCGATGAACTTGGCGAGTGAGAGGAGGTCCGTTATATCCGGGAGAGAGTTCATTTGAGTTTGTAAATCATCTCGATCAGCTTGTAAATTGTCATTGTCGATGACTGCGTTATTTGGCTTTAATAATTGTAGATTTCCACTAGCATTTCTTGATGGTTGTTTTTGAAACCTTGTTATTCCATAAGACGCGCACCTACTATATCGCTTTAAGGAGATTAACTGTCTTGTTCAGGTTTTTGTTCATTTCGAACTGTCAAAGCATATATGTGACCTAGAGATGCTGATATTAAAGCTTAAAACTTGTGATTATTCCTTAATCCATTAGTTGCTAGTGCGATGTTGTATTAGGAGGGAGCCAGTGTTGCCCGAGTACTACTCGTTGCGAGTACTACTCGAAGAAATCTGAACTACTCGAGTACTACTCGAGTAGTTGCCAAGACAGCCAAGAGAGCGGGGTAAGGACGTAGACAGAATTATAGCATAGGCAAAGTGAAGCTTTCAATGACTTGAATATTACTGTGATACTTACCATCGTCAAGATGAGCGAGTCTTCGCTATCACCGCCGCCCCTAGACGACCCGGGCGAATATGAGAATGCCTCTCAAGATCCACTCTTGCCCCTACCACTTGTACGCATGCCTGTACGGCCTCAAGACCAACTGTTACCAGATTCTGACTCAATCCTCTTTGCAAAGGGTCTATACTCTCGTACTGTTCTTGATAATGCGCCTTTCAGAATCAAAGTAATGCAGGCAGTGAAGTGAGGCTTCCGACTTCACTTCTGCCCAAACGCCAATTTAAGTGCTTGCAGCCACATTGCACATATACACCATCACAACCTACAAAGATGCAGACAACGAGTAATCTTTGGAAGCATTTAAAGACACAACATCCAGCAATACATGCACAATATAAGAAAAAGCATGTTCAAGACGGAGATACACAGCCTTCTTCTTCAACTACAGCTACATTCTTCCAGCCTCGCAAAGTACCTAGCCATGCACCAAATTCGTCAAAATTTAGAGAGCTTCTACTCTCATGTATTGTGTCTAATAACCTACCATTATCCTTCCGGCAGCTTGTTAGCCATTTAAATCCAACAACACTTGTAATTGGACGGACGACAATTGCAAGAGACTTGCAACGGATATTTTGCATTCATAAAGCAAGGTTACAACTTGAATTACAGCAGCATACTGCACAAGGTGGACGGATATCTTTAACAACTGATACTTGGTCTGCACGCAACTATTCTGAATACGCTGCAGTAACAGCACATTGAATCTCTGATAAGTGATAATTACGATGTACAGTCTTAGATGTTATTGAGCTACAAGAGCCAATCCATTCTGGTGAATATCTTGCAGGGCAGTTAATAGCTGTTACAGACGACTATGGTATTACTCCTGCAGCTTTTACTATCACTCGTGATAACACTTCTGCAAACACTACCATGCTCTCAGAATATGAGAACTTAGCATGCAAGAACGAAACTACATTACAGCAACCATGGGCATATACAACAAAAGAAGGTGATGTCAGATGTATTGGGCACATTATAAACCTTGCTGTTCAAGCTGCTTTAACATCGTTAAAGGCAGTACCAGCAGATGAGCCAAATGCATACCGCCTTGAGTATGGAGCTGCCCGAGTTCCATCACTACCAGAAAATGAGTCAGTAGTTGTTCTTAGCAAACTTTGGCGTCATATATATGTGTTTCGCAACCGACGACAATGGAAGGATGCCTTAAAAAAGCAATGTGAAGCTGCAAATATTGAGTTTAAGCAGCTTAGCCTCGATATGCCAGTACGATGGAGCTCAACATATTATATGCTTCATTTAGCGTTAAGATTACAAGGTCCAATAACAGCTCTCTGTGCATCTCAACAGCTTGATTTAAGTATGAAAGATATAGCTTTAACAGCAAAAGATTGGCAAACGATGAAGGCGTTATTAGATTTTTTTTATATCTTTATACGCCCAACAGAGAAGCTACAAGGCTCTTCTTATTCTACTTTAAATTATGCTGTTATACAGTATATGAGAATGACGCAAAAGCTTGAAGTCTTTAAAGCTGGATATACAGAGAATAGCACAATATACGACGCTTGTTTAGCAGCATTAAAAAAGCTTAATGAGTATTATACACTTGCAACAAATCAACAGCGGAGTCATTCAACTATAGCTACAATATGCGACCCACGTTATAACTTTAACGTATTTGATATTATTTGGCCAAAAAGCATTCAAGACATGCGAAAAAGGCGGGCAAAAGCACAATGGCAAGACTGTTATTATAAATATTCAGGCAAGGCATTAGACATCCAAGCAGCAAAGGTTATGGAAAGTATCCAAGATGAGGAATTAGAAGATGAGAATTCTAAGAAGACGGAGTCTGATTCTGAGGATGAGCTATATGTCTCACAACGGCAGCCAGATTTAGATCCAGAATGGAAGCGCTGGATGAACGAGCCAACTCTTGGGCCTAAAATTGATATACTCAAGTTTTGGGCAAGTAAGCAATACCAATATCCAATACTTGCCGCAATTGCCAAAGATCATTTAGCAATTCCTGCTACATCAGCAGAATCTGAGCGAGTGTTTAGTGTTGGTGGAGATATTATTACAAAGAAACGGAACAGATTAGCACCATCTACACTACGATATCTTATATGTCTTAGGAGGAATTGGGGCGTGGTATCAGCAGGTGAGGATTCAGAGGAAGATGAGGATGCATAGTTACTGTAGTCTATATAGCTATCAATCATGTTTTCATTTTTATACTCGAGTAGTACTCGTAGTACTCGAGTACTACTCGAGTACTACTCTACTCGAGCCCAAAAAACAGTACTCTACTCGAAGATCTCTGAGTAGTACTCTGAGTAGTACTCGGGCAACTGTCATACTGACATTCGTTGCACTCAGTTTGCTATCAAACTCAAGAGCAAACTTAGAAATCTCCTCCTCAAACCTACAAGTCACCATACATATCTTGGCTTATCACACCAACAACAGAAGCAATACTACTCAACGATTGCTGCAAACTCTTCTACTACATCTGTTTATGCTACATACATCACGGCATATCATTTGAACACTCATTGAACAAGTTATTAAGAAAATCTCCTCCTTAAGGGGGTGGGCCAATACTACCACATGGCATATATCTACCAACTAGAGGCCTAGGAACATGAACGATAGCTCTAGAAGCTTCTACAACCCTCTATGATTCATTACACATCATCGCTCCTTAGTTACCCACAAGATTGGTTAAGTTATGTCATAATTTGTCTATAGGGGTACTCTGACCTTGGACCTCCTTTTCACTTCCTATAGGCTAGGAACCCAAGAGATGGTTCTATGGGATTCTCTTACGTTCACTACATGATTAGCAAGCTAGTTGTGGGTCGCACTTGATTTCTAATACATTTACCAAGCCTGGTTAGTCATGGAAAGTCATGGAAAATGAGAGAACTACACTCCTTTGGCATAAATAGGATTGCCCTTTCCTTAAGAAAGGGCAAGCAGGCAATACAGTAAATCGACTAGCACATACTTCCACGTCTTTTCCAAGCTTCCAAGCATTCATCTTGTTACTCCTTGTTTCTGAAAAGTCAGTGAGGTGTTAACCTCTGACTTACCCCTGAGTTCCCAGACTCAACATTTGTTGCAACTTGTCTGAACCACTTCACTACATCACACACCTGATTGCTGCGTTGTGGAATAGTCTAAGCTACAACCCTTTGGCTCTGTTTCCTAAGACAGTGTGTTGTCTTAGTAAAATCATCCCTTCCTTGGGTGGCTAGATTCTCACATCTGGTGCACCCATCATTACAAAGGTGTTCGGCCGGCCATTCTATTAGATAGTGTCGCATACGGGACTTTGTAGATTTTAGCAGTAGAGCGACGACTAAGTTTTTTTGATGAACGAATAGCTTCGATAGCTAGAACTATTTGAGCTTCTTAAGTTTGAAATTCCATTTGTAGTTGTGGAGAAACGCGTGTTAAAGTCAAAAGGTAGTGGGGTGGGGAAAAGTGATCGACTCGATGTACAACCACGTTATAAGGTTTACTGTGTGTTTATACGAGGCTTGGGTTGTGTTTTAATGTGACTATGCTCGTTTCTATAATTAATATGTGTTGGTCGATGTTCGTATGCCGAGTTGAGACGATTCTTAAGATGCAGGAGTCGAACATTACCAAATGTATTTGAATCGTTGCTTAATCAACAATCTTCGCTATTCATAGGTACGCATAAGTATAATCATAATAGTCGTACCGTCAATGAGTAAAAGTCATAAAAGGGATTCCAACCCAACCCTCAAACCTCTTTCTGATACTGCCCAAACTCATCCTCCAGTTTCTCCTCCATCCACTCCCTCTCCGCCTCCGTCCCGATATAATTCCCATCCTTATCCTTCGCAAAGAACTTCTTATACTCACATCTCGGCATCCGCACAGCCTTGGTGGTAGATGGCTCCTTATCCTTCTTGAATTTACTCATGAACGACTTCTTCCTACACACAGCCGATCCGTCAGAACAGCATCCCCACCCAACCAAGGCGGAGAATAACTTACCCCTCCACAACCTTGGGTTTCTGCGCAGACACAACATTCATGACAATCACAACGATCATACTATCATCCGTGTACTTTTCCTGCAGCAGCTGCGGCTCCTGTGCAACGAAGCCAACAGGTGCGACCATGTTGCCCCAGGCGCTCAGCTTGGAGTGTCGCAGGGCTCCTCCCGTGGACCCGGAGTCCTGCGATTCCTCCGCGCGCATGTACTTTACTTCGCCATTCTCGCGGTAGGGGATCCATTTCTCCTCGGGGGGGGAGTCGGCGCTTGCGGGGGTGGATTTGAAGAATGGTGTGTGTGAGGTCTATTGGTGGGGGTTGTATCTAAGAGACGTCGCTTGTGGGTAGGATAGGATTATAGGTCGAGATATGGTGTTTTTGAGATGGCTGAGCTTCAGGAGGATTCAGTTCTGATTCATAGTCGGCGTTTCGTAAACGCCGCCATGGCGAGGCCGTGTTTCTTGGTAATTGGTGGTTTATGGTACATGACAACCGCAGGGCGTATCATAAGGTAGGTGCAAAACTGAGAATCCTGCAATCGATGTCATTGGCAAACAAATGAGATCTCTATAGTATAAGCTTTCTTAAGCTTCCCATCACTGTCCTCTGCGGCCTAGGATATGAACACCGAGGGGTTACGCTTCAACTTCTGACGGTTGCTTGTTACAATGATCTGCGCGTCAGACTTACCCCAATACCCGCAGCTTTGCATCTAGAGGATCATTCGGGATGGATCAGTGGGATCCACATTCTTATACTTAGTGTGCGCCACGGGGGACTGACCCTGTCGGGGGACCTAAACCGGACCGGACCACAGTCCGGTCTGAAGCTCATAAACTGCAGTTCCCCGTCGGTCTGCCAAGACTGTCATCACATGATGACTGGGTTAGTTGACAATGACGTGTAAATATTCTATATAATGACTTATTTTCCATGTGTAATTTGTAGTAGATGCAATTACTATAATTATTTCTATAGATCTATATTATGCCATGACTCCCAGATTTTCTGACCAGACAGGGACTTGTTACGGACTTGGCTTAACTCAATTGTTTCGACCATTTACCTATAAGGTGACTGGTGTAATGGTGGGTGCACCAGATGTGAGAATCTAGCCACCCAAGGAAGGGATGATTTTACTAAGACAACACACTGTCTTAGGAAAAAGAGCCAAAGGGTTGTAGCTTAGACTATTCCACAATGCAGCAATCAGGTGTATGATATAGTGGAGTGGTTTAGACAAGTTGTAACAAATGTTGAATCTGAGAACTCAGGGATAAGTCAGAGGTTAACACCTCACTGACTTTTCAGAAACAAGGAGTAACAAGATCAATGCTTGGAAGCTTGGAAGAGACGTGGAAGTATGTGATAGTCGATTTACTGTATTGTCTGCTTGCCCTTTCTCAAGGAAAGGGCAATCCTATTTATGCTAAAGGAGTGTAGTTCTCTCATTTTCCAAGACTTTCCATGACTAACCAGGCTTGGTAACTGTAGTCGATGTAAGAGAATCCCATAGAACCATCTCCTAGGTTCCTAGCCTATAGGAAGTGAAAGAAGGTCCAAGGTCAGAGTACCCCTATAGACAAATTATGTCATAACTTAACCAATCTTGTGGGTAACTAAGGAGCGATGATGTATAATGAATCATAGAGGGTTGTAGAAGCCTTTGGAGCTATCATTCATGTTCCTAGGCCTCTAGTTGATAGAGATATGTCATGTGTAGTATTAGCCCAGTAACTAGGGAGTGATGTCATGTAATGAATCATACAGGGTTGTAGAGATATGCTATGTGGTCATATCGGCCCAGTAACTAAGGAGCAATGACGTGTAATGAATCATAGAGGGTTGTAGCAATCGTTGAGTAGTATTGCTCTTGTTGTTGGTGTGACAAGCCAAAATATGTATAGTGACTTGTAGGTTTGAGGAGGATATTTCTAAGTTTGCTCTTGAGTTTGATAGCAAACTGAGTGCAACAAATGTCAGTATAAAATCTCTGTGAGAGGCTATAATCGACGTGAGTATCCCTCTCTACTTTACTACTATATAGACTAATAATTATTAAGGGATTGCTATGCGGAAGCCTATTATCTCAGAGACAAATCGACAAAAGCGACTTGCATGGGCTATTGAACATAAGGATTGGGTACGGAATGATTGGAATAGGATACTTTGGACTGACAAGACGTGGGTAACGGGAGGCCGCCATACTCGTACGTGGGTTACTCGAAAAGCAGGGAAATGTGGGATGATACATGTGTTGTAGATAGAGTACAACGGAGAAGGTAAGAGACTCCTATTTACTATAGGATTTACTAACAATCCCTAGAGGTTGGATGTTCTGGGGCTGCTTCTCAGGTGGTCTTGGAAAGGGTCCTATACTATTTTGGGAGAAGGAATATGGGAAAATAGGAGCTGAGTCCTATATGGCTCATACTGTCCCTCTAATCCACGGCTGGCTACACCTACACCCAGGCCTTACATTGATGCAAGATGGAGCTCCAGGTCATAGAGCAGGTGCAACATATGAAGAGTTGAGATCCCATGGTATTTGCCCTATAGAATGGCCCCCGTATTCACCAGATCTCAACCCAATTGAACGGGTGTGGCATATTATGAAGAATTATCTACAAGATAATCATCCAGAACATATATCCTATGACCAGCTCCGTGTAGCTGTTAAGGAAGCGTGGGAGCAAGTTGGAGAAGCTGAGCTTAATGCTCTCCTTAATAGTATGCCTACACGTATGGCAGCAGTAATTGCTGCAAATGGTATGCACACAGAGTACTAGGCTTATAGTATAGTTTTATATAGGGGTTTAGGTATCTACTCTACTCATTACTCTACAGAATTGATTGCTCTCACACTCAAGTGTTCGTGACTTTGGCCAGAATTGCCAAACCAGCCTACGCAGTGGGCCCTAGCCCGACCCACTCACAAAACTTATGAACAACACCTCCGTATAGGGAGTGTTCTATACGTAGGAGGAAAATTTTGCTGTCAGGGGTATTATAGTTGCACACTGCGCAGAATGGATTAGTAATTAGGAAGGAATAACCGAAATGGCTTTATACAATAATACATCATCATCAGCCTAGAAATAATAGCCCCTACCACGAATCGTCACAACACGATGGTACGTAGAGAGCCCGCGTGGATCATTTATATCATGATATGGGACTTTCAAGTAGTGTGATATGATATGATATGATATGATATATCACATGGGGAAGACCGCGTGATATGAGATGATATCTACATATCATTCATCTCATATCATATACTACTGGGGACACTGTGCATCAGTACCTCGACTCCGATGGATCCGGAACGAGCGAGGCCTGCGTCTCTGCCACCATCGGCCAAGAGCGCATTCAAGCCGCGACCGAGTGGCTGGAGGCGAACGGGAAGAAGGGAATCATCGGTGAATTCGCCGGTGGCGCCAACGACCAGTGCAAGTCCGCCGTTACCGGTATGCTTGAGGAGATGTTGGGGTTGTGGGTTGGGATTAAGGGACTTGAGAGTTTCGTCGCTAGGATGTTGACTTCTTTTACATAGTTGCCATAGGCTGTTCATATGCCGAACTTCAATGCATATAGCAAGAAAGATATAAGGGGTCGTTGAGTAAGTGCTCGCTATATCTGATCTACGTTGCTTGACTTTCTGGACGAACTTCGTGATGTGATGCAAGGGGCTAGTTTAAGCCTTGCCCGTTTCTCTGGATGGACATGTGAAACCAACGCAAATCCCATAGAATGAGAGAATAAGGAATTATTCGATTGCCGAGGCGGAATAGAAGAAGTTTATCCAAGTGCTCATCTCCAGTACTTGCAACATCACGAACCCCACCCCACAAAACTTTATAGGGGGCAACTCATTTGAGCCATCAAGTGGCTTCACTCGCCGTGTTTCTGTGGCTGCATTTCCCTTGACGACACCATTGGCGCTGAAGGTTCGTGCCTTTAATCAACTTATTACAGTACTTCTACAGCTGCAAACTTGGGATGTATGCACATTCTAGTATACCTATACTAGAATGTGCATACAGCTCCTGCAATATACGCTTCTGGACGGAAGTCAAAGTCTTGGCACTACTCTTTCATTTACCTTCCGTCATCCTCTCTCCTCATCTTCTTGTCCAGTAATTGAAATTCCAGTATTCCCTATTCTTTTCCAATGGAGTTATAGCCAGGTCTTCATTCCAGCGAGAATGCCGTCATTTTCATCGCTGCTCAAGCGCTCAAGACCGAAGCGCAAGGCTGAACACGATAATATTGCCAATGTTGACACCAGCAAGAAGGACAGAGCCAGCCGGAGACTGCCAACCCGAGGCGACTTCTTCCGAAGCTTTTTGGGCAGAACTCGATCCAGCGCTGGTCCGCGACCTGGTGCTGACGAAGATATTCAAAATAAGGTGTGTAAGCCTCAGCTGCCCACTTGCGACCGCGTTCTAACCTACGACTCTGTACAGCAAGCGCCCCTTCAATCACCAACTCAAGGAAAGGCCGGCAATGTAGCGACTCCCACATCCGATCCGAACAAACCATTACCTCCCCCACCCCCATTCAACGACTCCGAATCGGCCAAGCAGCCCGTCAAAGCTGACATTCAGCTGAAGCGCATTATCCAGCCGCTCACACTTGCCGACATACACAAGCTATTTTCCGGGGCACCCCAATTCTTTGTTCGATCAGAGGGCCACCATGCCGGAGCGCCGCATCCTTCAGTTGCCTTTCCTTGGAACGAGGAATTGGAGATACGGGACTTGAGCGACCATGGGCAAATAGAAGAGAAAGCTTGGGGATGCGTCACCACAACCCCGCACATCATTCGCAAGCAAAAAAGAGACGCGGTGGTAGAACAGGCCACTGAAGAGAATGGAAATAAAACCCCACACTTTGTCCCTCGTTGTAAAGAGAGGCCAAATATGCTGAGTATGCAAGGCTTGGAACGGGGGACTGTTGGGTTTCAGGCAGCGCTCGAAGTTGCGGTTGCGGATGCGCTTCACGAGGACAAACCCCATCAGGATGAAAAGACTCTACAATCACTCAGAGTCAAATTTTTGAAAGGGAAGAAGCGTGGACTAAGACCACTAAGTGAAGCTTCAGTTGTGTCGAAACTGACCGAGATGGGATTAGCATACCACGCAAAACCCCCAGTTTCCAAGACATCAGTAGAGATGTACACAGAACTCTTCACACAAGTTTTGTTCCCACCGACGCGCGTCACTGATGCAGATGACCCCACCAGCTTCCATGTTCAAATTGAAACCTTAGTGAGCGTTCTCACAGAGCCTGGCATCTGGGTTGATTTTAGCAATGTTGAATGGCGGATAAGGCTTGGGCAGACTCTGTGGGGCCCGTCTTACCAACCTGACCAGGAAGAGGAAGTTGATGTTGATGGCGAAGAAGAAGAGCACAGGCACGAGAGCCAGCAATTTTGGCTCCTGCTTCAAATATTATTGTCTTGCGAGCTTGTTGTCAGACTTGACGCGGTTAGCCGAAGCGCACGACAGGATCCGGGGCTTATAACAGCGGAAGAGATACAGAGGTTCGAAAGAGATGTCACAAGACCTGTGAAATGGTCGCTTTTACTGGCCAGGCTGTGGCTTGAGAATATTAAGATTACACAGTCTGTCAATCAACCATCAGAGCAATATCCGCCAGAGCATGAGAAACGACCTTCGGGGTGGCTATCGTCAATTAAACAGGCCGTAACTCCGCAGCATGAAGAGTTTGACCCTATCACCTCCCACACGATTGACTTCCAAGGCAGGCGCCAAAAAAGGCAAATCAATGGACTGATCCGCTTCTCTCGAAAGATGAGGTGGCCAGGAGCTGAGCGTATCGCTGAGAAATTTGCTATGGATCTTGAGAAGGGAAGTGACGGCACTGGAAGCACTCTCTCCGACCGCGCTTCACAGGCTGGAACATCCCTCTCCATGACTACGCAGCGATCGTCATATTTCGCAGGAATTGGACGACTCCGAAGAGGCCTGACTATGGGTGGACAGCCGAATATGTTCCATCCTTCGGGGTGGCTCTCGAAATCATATCTGACGGGCCTTATTCTACCTGGAGAGGGATTGAGCCATTTAATGATGTCGACGTTACTTGAGAACGACGAGGTTGCAGTCGCACGGCTTGGGGGTGATGCTAACCTATATGGTGGCTTCGTATACTCGGGGCAAAGCTTTTGGAGCACGGCTTGCATTATTGGTAGAGTTCTTGCTGCCGGGAAGGGTGCGAGCGAGTGCATGGGCTGGCTATCTTCACCTATTAAGCCAAAGAGAGTTGTCGAAGGGTGGGTGAGCGTCGATGTAGAATTGGAGCCTCGTTCAGATGGAGAAGAAGGGCCTCATGCTGCCCGCATCTGGAAGAAATCTACAGTGGAGCGCGAGTCCCACGTTCTCGGAGATGGAGATGCCAGGACGATTCTTCCAGGAGACTTCACGCTGCCACCGGCCGATGTCCCTGATCCGGTGAACCTGGAAGTAAATCTAGAATCTCTCGATCTATTTACTGGCCTTGACTCTGCCGAGTCTTCACCACTCGAAGAGGATGAACCCGGTGTTGAAACTGCAGGCAAGCCTAATATTCGTACATATTCCGCCATGTTGCAATTCACCGTCAAGCCGTCCGATGAGCCTACGAAATCTATGAATTTCGCGCTCATATACGACGTTCAATTTGTCACTGCCCACCCTTGCGTCCCGTCGTTACACACGCAATTAATTCAATCGTCAACAAACCCAGGATCGCCGGCCGTACAGCTCGACAGTGCATCCTCGGGGCCACACACTTTATTCACAGGTAAGCCTATCATCCCATCCCCCTACCCTTCTAAAGCCCCCCAACTAACGCATCCAGGCCACGCCCTCCACAAATCCTACAACTTCTCCCGCCACACCCTCTCCTCCGTCGTCTTCCCCTCCCCCGCCGCACCACCCCCCCTCCTCTCCCTCCACACCTCCAGCACCGAAATCTTCGTCATCGACTGCACCGAGCCCGACCCGCCCGAGGTAGCAGCCCTGGATGCGCACCCGGCGCAGAGCGCGTACGTCTCGCGCAAGCGCCGCTTCGGTAGCGATCTAGAGATGCTGACACGCGCGTGGTGCGCGGAGAAGGGGTACAATGCGCTGGTGAGTCGGAAGGGGAGGAATTGTATTGCGTGCTCGATTCGGGAGGCGAGGGCGCTAAGTTGGAAGATTGTGTTGAGGTTTGGGTGAGGGGGGTGCAGGGGAGGTGGTGCTTGGTGAGATGGTGAGTTGCTGGGGGTTGATGATGGACGTTCGGTGGGGGGGGGTACCTGGGTTATGATTCTGGCGCCGTCGGTGTATGGTTTGATAGCGCTTTTTGATATCCCCATGAGCGAACTTAACGACGGGACATGACGCGATACAGCACGATGGTAAATTAGAAATAACTAGCTAGTGTAATGATCGTTATCAAACTACTTACATATGCACTCGGATACGAATGAATTGAATTGATTTATGATTGGATTGACTATCGGACACATCTCATCCTGTAGCTATAAATGGTGCCAGCCCCTTGTATGGTATCTCCCTCTATCGCTTGGTATCTCATCTCATCTAAAACGCCCCCATCAACACCCCTCATTTACTGACACCCAACCCTCTCCTTCAACCACCCAATCACCCTCCCATCCGCCTCCCCCGCCTCCTCCAACTCCGGCGCCTTCAACCAAAACGTATGCGGCCACCCCACCATCACATCCGTCACGAGCTCATTCCCCGCCTCCTCCACCGCCTCAGCATAACACGCCCCATCGCTATAAAAGATATCATTCGTGCACAGCTGCAGGAACGTCGGCGGCATTCCCGCAAAGTTATCAGCGTTCAATGGCATATCCCTCGCCATAGGGAGGTGGTTATCCGCGTCGAAACCGAGCAGACTCGTCCCGAATGAGGGGCTGAAACTCGTGTGGCGATCTTCGTAGCGCTGCGGGATCGAGACGCCGCCTTTACTCGCGTCGACGGTGACGGGGCAGCGGATGACAAGGCCGGAGATGAGATATGGAGTGCCGCGTGCGCGCTGTGCGGTTTGCGCGGCGAGTTGGGCGCCGGAGGAGCTGCCGACTATGTAGACGCGTCCTGGTTGCTGGTCGGTGTTGTATTTCCACAGCTTAGCGATGCCGAGGAAAGCGGCCCAGGCGTCGGCGACGGCGGTATCGGGGGAGTAGTCGGGGAAGAGGCGGTACTCGACTGAGACGACTTTGATGCCCAGATCCTTCGCGAGGCGACGGCACTGGAGGTCCTCGCTGTCGAGGTCTCCGACGCAGAGGCCGCCGCCGTGGTAGTAGATGATGAAATCCTGGGGGTGCGTGAGCGCGGTGGGGATGTAGATGCGGAGGTGGATTGTGGCGCCGTCAGGGGACTGGGTGGAGTCGGGGTGGGTTTGGATGTCGCAGAGGAGGGCGTGGGAGGGGCCAGTGGGAGAGGCCAGATGTTCATTGCGGTCGCGGCAGGTTTTGGCGTAGCTCCGTTGGCGGAGTCGGAGGGCGTCGGCGCGGGAGATGTCTTCTTGGGGACCTGGGGCGTTGATGTGGCCCTTTGCCTTTTCGTAGGCTAGCCAGGCTGGGCTGAGGGGAGGGGCCTCTGAGAGAAAGAGATCAGAGGCCATGTGGGAGATTTGGGGTGTAGAAGTCTAGGAGATATATGAGTGAAGTCTTGGGTAAAAGCTTGAAATGTAGCTTAAAATGTAGATGCAGATGCAAACGGAGCGAGACAAACAAGCAAAGAAGACAAAGAGGAGAGGGGAACTACCTATACCTATAGCTTTACCTATTCAGATCTGCACCATTAGGCTAAAAGAAGTGACACTTTTGACACCTTTAGTGGAGATAATGAAGGAGATAGAGAAGCAGAGCCTCTCCTCCCCCGAAATAATTTGTCTACGTTATGACAATTCACGACCCGATGGAGTTCGCGTTTCTGCACGTTGACGTCGTCACGCCTGGGATTGGGATGGTAGGGACGGATTTGCGGAGGGTTGCCTATTTCGGGGCGGAACCGAGATGAAAATCCCCAGCCATTCCATATTTCATATTCTTTATTCCATGCTATTTATCCGTTTGGTAGCTAGTTTGCATGCGGGACGATAATGCAGCACGGATAACCCCTGGGAATAATATTTAATAACTTATCAACGATATAAAGTCGTAACCTAGACCCCTATCCTGGTCCCTTATAATCACGTGATTAAACCCATGGTTAATAATTCACGTGACCAACAAGCTACCCCGCCACCCACCATTTCTTCCTCGGATGAATTATGACGACGATGATGACGTTAACACAAAGTAAACAAAGACTTGGGGACAAGAATAATGAGAATTTCTCTTTGCAGCTTAATCGTACGATTATATGCCATGAGACTCTGATAAGGTAATTGAATTAAGCCTTTCTTGCCTACTGAGCTCAGTTGAATCCAACTACCTATGCCCTTCCTTAACCCCCACACCGAACTACCGAGCTTCACATCCATTCCCCTGCCAAATGTGGTGTCGGCCCACACGCCTTTCCACAGACCTGCCATTACGTCTATATCACCCCTCCTCCGTGATAATACTCCCAATCTGCCCGTCTCTCTTCCCAACAACACGCATCAACCACCACAACACTCGATACTTTCATAAACAACCTCCCACAATGTCTAAACCAACCCCCTTCGAGCACGTTGAGAAGATCTCCGGGCACTCCAAGGCCTGCTGCACCATCCCCCCGATCGTACCCGAGAAGGAATACAAGGCAAAGGGCACCTATGAGACCATCGACGGCATCAAGACCTGTTCGTCCCTCTTTCATTCCCCCCCTCCCCTTCTTCAATCACCTCTCAACTAACTCCCCTAGACGTCACCGGTTCACCCTCCGCCACCACGGGCATCTTCGTCGTCGCCGACATCTTCGGCTACTACCCCCAAACCCTCCAAGGCGCCGACATTCTCTCGTGCGACTCCACCTACCGCGTCTTCGTCCCCGATTTCTGGGACAACGATCCCTGCCCGCTTGAATGGTACCCCCCCACCCCCGCCACAGCCGAGAAGCTCGGCAACTGGTTTAAGCAGCACGGCGACTTCCCTGCCGGGTGCGAGAAGACGCACCGCTTCCTAGAGAGCTTCAAGAAGGCGTCGCCGAAGATCGAGAAATGGGTCGGGCTGGGGTACTGCTGGGGCGGAAAGATCATGTCGCTTACGTCTGGGGAGAACACCCCGTGGGCGGTCAGCGTTCAGTGCCATCCGGCCGGTGTGAGTGGTGCGGACGCGGCGAAGATTACGGCCCCGCATATGCTGCTGGCCAGTATGGACGAGAGTAAGAAGGATGTGGAGGCGTTTGAGAAGAACTTGAAGGTTGTGAAGCATGTTGAGACTTGGGATAAGATGATCCATGGGTGGATGGCGGCGAGGGGCGATTTGGATGATCCCGCGGTGGTGAAAGAGTATGAGAAGGGCTATCAGACTGTGCTGAGCTTCATCGAGAAGAACTTGTGAGTAAGGTTTCGTTGCTTTCCTCGGGGTCGAAGAACCGATGAGGATGGAGCGAATGAGGGTAGGGCGTGTGATGAGTGTTAATGGTGTGTTTGCTTATATATCCCGTGTCCATAGAAATGCCTCATCCGGGTCCTCGAAAATATAATTCAATCAGTCGTTTAGCTCTCACAAATTCATCAATCTACCGACATCGCCTGTTTCGATTTGTGCCATGAACATGAGCTTGCCGACCCCATCTTCAAATCATGCCCATTCTGCTTACTTCTCTAGCCTCCAAACTCACCACCATGACCTTCACCCATCCCTACACCCCCTCTGCAGAAGCATAGCACAAGTTTCACACCCACTAACACCACACCTCTTCACTTCCCACATCTCCGCCGCCTTCCTCTTCGCCCGTACTGCCCGCGACTCTCTCATCTAGCTCGACCCGTTCGAGTCTGCGAAGGCAGCTAGCAGGGTCGCCTCCTCCATCAACGGCGCGACGGGCTTATCGATGCCGAACACCGCTGCACCGAGGCGGGTGAGTGCTTAGAGGACCCAAGCGCTGCTGGCACCGCGATATCTGTGGGAGTGCTGGTAGGGGTAGAGACTGAGGGGACGGGAGTGTTGACCAGGATGTCATGCGCGCTCGCGACATCGGGGTCGATGAGGAGGGCGGCGATGATGGTGCGGGAGGTCGCGGATGTCTTCGGTCAAGTGGTCGGAGAGGGTGGAGGGGGAGGTGAGGGTTGCGGGGTTGAGTTGGTAGAGCATGCCGTAGGGGTGGGAGACGTGGATGTAGAGGGCGTGGTGATAATGTCAGCCGCCGAGGGGGGAGAGGAGGATATAGAGTGCCACCGGAGTAGTGTCCGTTCATGGTGTAGTTGATTATGGTGAGGTAAGTGAGGATATTATGAGAAAATGTGGAATGCGGAAGGCGAGCTATCGCTGCTTGAGTTCTGTGTTGAGGGATTTGTATTACTTTCATGATATGAAGAGACAAACGGCATAGTTGATACATAAATTCCATCTCAACTGCGCCACAGGCTTGGAACTTATAATTCTCACGATGACGAAGGAGGCCGACGAGTAGGTCGCCATGTTAGGTGTTTGCAGTCACGAGCGAGGCTGAACCGACTTGAGGCAGCACACCGAGACCACAGAGATGTTGGAGCCAACAAGTACTGGAAAGCGACTCACAAGACCGCAAACGTGATCATAGTAAGTCACAAGTACCATGAGATGTTATCATCATCGTAGAAACTGTCATTGCTCACCGAGCTGTTGGTAACCGTTGCACGCGCTTGGAAGAAAATTGATGTTGGTCGACGCCTTTCATCAGGTCGACGTCCCGTTTGCAATATAACATCACAAGGCTGTAATAAAAGTGTAGAAAGTACAGTATTGGTCGGTTCTAACAAGTACGTTACAAGTTAAGTTGATACTAGAGCGATTATAATGGCTGTAGTGTTTGATACTGAACAAGGTGTGCTGTTCTGTTCATTCACAGTAATCAGTGACTTATCACTGGAGCAAACGTCTCTTCGTTGTAGCAAACGTCACGACTACCGTTTGCAACTAGCATTTCTGTTGGAGCGTTTATTTAGAACAGTGACACTGCATGATGAATTACCAAACCCAGTCTATAAAATTGCTAAAGGAGAAGGCATCTGTTGAAGGTTATTATATTCGCTCGCTGTAGCCTTCACTTGACATCCACATTGGTTGATGAAGGTCGATTGGACTGATATTGTTTCACATGATAGCCTCCGCATCCAACCACCACCACCCTAATCAAAATTGGAGACAAGGACTACCATATCGAGCTATCTGAAATACCATATCTATCAGCCTTTGCCAACTTCGAAAGAACAAAGGCCCAAACTCAATAAAAGGAGCTTGTCCACGGTCCTATCGCCCATTTTGATATAGCCCTATCAGATAGCACCGCAGGCCAAACAAGCCAATCAGGAGCTATGACACCTGCCAATTGTGTTGGTCCAAACCAACGAATTTGGGGGCCACATTCAGATACCTTGTGAAAGTGATGCTTTTTAGTGGCCCATCATTTGTTTAGCGCCTTTTATGTGCATGGCTGGCGGAATAACAGTGTGGCTGAGCCTACAGGCCCCTGTGCGATTGCTCAGGGTGCGATTATCACATCTGGTGCACCCACCATTATATTTGGCTCAAGGTTATCATTATACTATGAGTCCATATGAAGTTTCCCCGGAATGCTGTACCACTTGCATTTACTCCCTTAATCACAGTAACAGAGAGCCGATTCTCAGGATTATCAACAGTCCATTGCTTTACGCCAATCGGCACAATAACAACTGTAGATTTATAACATCCAATCATGTAGCCAGTCTCGTTAACATTCCATAAGTTATATGGCTTAATGTTGTGTTTTGTAATAAGTGCGTTATATGTAAGGAAAATTTCCTCAAACACCTCTTTCTTTTGTGCTTGCTTTCTATGCGTATTTAAAGTCTTCGTATGAATCGAGTGGAATTCAGGGTATGCCTTAAGGAAGCGTTGTAACCACCGTTGCGATGGGATCGTACGATCAGGTCATAAGTCCGCAACAGCCTGTAAAACCATTGGTAGGTTTGTAGGGACCCCACACTTCAGTTGGACATATATAAATTGACAAACTGCAGTATGTTGTGCTTGAGATAAAACTCAGTTTTGACCCCCGCAGGGAAGGGGAGGGGTAGTAATGTGTCGTCAGAGTGTCTCACAGTTGACATTAAACTTGCGGGCAACCCAAGTAATTGTATAAGTATCTGGTTGTTTCAAATAGAACTACCGGGCCTCAATAAGATGGTCAGCTCAACTTGGATCACTATTCAAAGGCATCGTAGAGGGTTGTTGTTACGACAAATATTATTATTTCATCTATGTATCAAAGTGGCGCACATATCGCTGTCGCAGCCAGATCGCTGTCGCCACCTACGAGCGAAGCGAGTGGGTGGAACACTGAGTACAGTATTCCGGCTCGCCCGGAATATGCGTAACACGCTTTATATACCACATGTACTGTAACAGCGGAACCCCGTTACATGCCAATTGCCTATGCCTGCTTCATGTAGTATCCTATTTATAGTTGATGTTAAGCAAGCAACATTACAAGCATCCTTCACTTCTTGGTAATATGTATACTTTGGGTTTTAGTCATACGTGGCAGAGTATAAGGCGTTGCTCTGCTTCTGTGTATAACTTTCCCCGTGCTGTACGGGGTAGGCTCTTGCCTTTGGTGCGTATTAGGTCAACTGCAATTGTATATCGTACAGTGCTTCGGTTAAGGTTTAGGTCATGTGCAATCTTAGTAGGTGTTGCACCCTCTAACTGCCTCCTAATAATCTGCCTGCGTTGGTATGTGTCATACTGACATTCGTTGCACTCAGTTTGCTATCAAACTCAAGAGCAAACTTAGAAATCTCCTCCTCAAACCTACAAGTCACCATACATATCTGGGCTTATCACACCAACAACAGAAGCAATACTACTCAACGATTGCTGAAAACTCTTCTACTACATCTGTTTATGCTACATACATCACGGCATATCATTTGGACACTCATTGAACAAGTTATTAAGAAAATCTCCTCCTTAAGGGGGTGGGCCAATACTACCACATGGCATATCTCTACCAACTAGAGGCCTAGGAACATGAACGATAGCTCTAGAAGCTTCTACAACCCTCTATGATTCATTACACGTCATCGCTCCTTAGTTACCCACAAGATTGGTTAAGTTATGACATAATTTGTCTATAGGTACTCTGACCTTGGACCTCCTTTTCACTTCCTATAGGCTAGGAACCCAAGAGATGGTTCTATGGGATTCTCTTACGTTCACTACATGATTAGCAAGCTAGTTGTGGGTCGCACTTGATTTCTAATACATTTACCAAGCCTGGTTAGTCATGGAAAGTCATGGAAAATAAGAGAACTACACTCCTTTGGCATAAATAGGATTGCCCTTTCCTTAAGAAAGGGCAAGCAGGCAATACAGTAAATCGACTAGCACATACTTCTACGTCTTTTCCAAGCTTCCAAGCATTGATCTTGTTATTCTCTGTTTTTGAAAAGTCAGTGAGGTGCTAACCTCTTGACTTACCCCTGAGTTCTCAGACTCAACATTTGTTGCAACTTGTCTAAACCACTTCACCACATCATACACCTGATTGCTGCGTTGTGGAATAGTCTAAGCTACAACCCTTTGGCTCTGTTTCCTAAGACAGTGTGTTGTCTTAGTAAATTCATCCCTTCCTTGGGTGGCTAGATTCTCATATCTGGTGCACCCACCATTACAGTATGGGCTTAATTGGCATAATTATGGTTGTTGTACAACGAGGGTGTAAGGATGCCTCCTTACCTAGATACTCGAGAACCTGTCTCAGAACTGTTACGGTCACTACAAGCATGAAATCTGACTCAGTGTGGTTTCGAACCAGTAGAGGAGCACATAGCGAGTTACACTATAGTGGGGGACGGTAAGGGTGTAGGGTTCAGGGTCGATGCTGACCTGTTGTGGTGGAAGGATCAGGGCTAGGGTTGGGATAACCGAGTCGGGCCCGTTTCGGGCAGTGTTGGCAATAGACCGACCAGACCGCCTCAAAATGTGAGCCAGACCGACCGACAAGAGGTTCTCATGTCGGCAGACCAAACAGACCATCTGCAAGTCGACAGACTGTCTGTTTGGTCTGCCGACAGTCTACCATGTAATGGTGGGTGCACCAGATGTGAGAATCTAGCCACCCAAGGAAGGGATGAATTTACTAAGAAAACACACTGTCTTAGAAAACAGAGCCAAAGGGTCGTAGCTTAGACTATTCCACAACGCAGCAATCAGGTGTGTGATGTGTTACGACGGAACAAGAAGGCTGGCCAACTACAGGACAGGAAGGAGGGAGGTCGCATGAGACCGGCCCTGGTACCTGGAGGGGCAGCGGGGAATAGTAGTTCCGAAAGTATCACGTGACGGACTCGCAGGATGATGAGAAGAGTCCTAAGAGTCCAGGACTCCGAGGACTCGAGTGAGTTCCCAGGAGTCCACTAGGCACGTGATGGACTCGCAGGATGATGAGAAGAGTCCTAAGAGTCCAGGACTCCGAGGACTCGAGTGAGTTCCCAAGAGTCCACTAGGCACAACGCCACTATATAAGTAGATAGTATTTCCTTAGATAGGAGCTTCGTGCTCAACTCAATACAGTATTTGTTATATACTAGTAACGTGTTACTTGAAGCCTTTGTGTCTGATCCCCTGCCTCCTCTGATAAGTAAACCTTTACGCAAGAGAACCTCTGTGTCTTCTATCGTTTAGAAGTCAGCGTTACATGATGTAGTGAAGTGGTTCAGACAAGTTGCAACAAATGTTGAGTCTGGGAACTCAGGGGTAAGTCAGAGGTTAACACCTCACTGACTTTTCAGAAACAAGGAGTAACAAGATGAATGCTTGGAAGCTTGGAAAAGACGTGGAAGTATGTGATAGTCGATTTACTGTATTGTCTGCTTGCCCTTTCTTAAGGAAAGGGCAATCCTATTTATGCTAAAAGAGTGTAGTTCTCTCATTTTCCAAGACTTTCCATGACTTACCAGGCTTGGTAACTGTAGTCGACGTAAGAGAATCCCATAGAACCATCTCTTAGGTTCGTAGCCTATAGGAAGTAAAAGGAGGTCCAAGGTCAGAGTACCCCTATAGACAAATTATGTCATAGACAAATTATGTCATGGACAAATTATGTCATAACTTAACCAATCTTGTGGGTAACTAAAGAGCGATGACATGTAATGAATCATAGAGGTTCGTAGGAGCTTTTAGAGCTATCGTTCATGCTCCTAGGCCTCTAGTTGGTAGAGATATGTCATGTGGTAGTATGAGTGATGTCATGTAATGAATCATAGAGGGTTGTAGAGATATGCTATGTGGTAATATCGGCCCAGTAACTAAGGAGCGATGACGTGTAATGAATCATAGATGGTTGTAGCAATCGTTGAGTAGTATTGCTCTTGTTGTTGGTGTGATAAGCCAAAATATGTATAGTGACTTGTAGGTTTGAGGAGGAGATTTCCAAGTTTGCTCTTGAGTTTGATAGCAAACTGAGTGCAACGAATGTCAGTATGACATACCAGTCGACAGACCAAATAGACTGTCTGCTTTATTCTGAGATCGTGATTGGTGAAATCCCGTTACTGTGAACCAGGGCTTCACCGCCATTTCCTACATGTTAAGTTCAAGGTCGGCTTCTTCTCTGGTTTTCAATCTTACTACTTCATTTACACCATTATGACTGATAACTCTCCACAACTCTCTGATTCGCAAAGCATTCTAGGGGGCTTATCTGACTTTGAGCTTGAACAGCTCTACTCATCCAACCCATCAGATGGATCATTCCACAGCACACCACATATACCGCCAGAGAGTTTACCTGATTCCAGCAGCCTAGCACCGACAGCTATAAGTTGCCAGCTGGATTTCGCTCTGCACCACCTGGGAAATGTCCAAATACCTCGTGGGTTTGGCAGCATGGCCAGGAGATCATCCGGGTCCATGATGACACACCATTCTGGTTATGCCAGTTGTGCTATAATAAGAGGGTTACAAAGACATACTCGTCAAGGACAACTACACATGCAATGAACCACATGATTCATTTCCACGGTAAATCCAAGGATGGTACATCTAGTTCTCGACCTCGATCTGTGCTTCAACAGCAGCGAGCTGCAGCTTATAGTGTAGTATCAACGATCGATTTCGCAAAATTTAAGACCTTATTACTGCGATGGATAGTGTGCACAAACGTCAGATTTTCAGAAGTAGAACACGAGCAGTTCCGTGAGCTACTAGTATACTGTAATGCAGTATTAGGAGATCTTTTACCACGTTCTCATAACACCATTCGAGGCTGGGTTATGAAAGAGTTTCAAATGCAAAAAACTCATGTCCAGACAATGTTTGCAAACTACGAAGGTCAAGTTCATCTAAGTTTTGACATGTGGACATCAACAAATTCCCTTGCTCTTCTTGGTATTGTGGGCCACTGGATTAACGGAACCACAACACAATCAGCTTTGCTAGGTTTGCAACGTTTACGTGGGCAGCACACTGGCGAGAATATGGCAGAAGCAGTACTGTCAGTTATTGATGAGTATTCACTATGGTCGAAGATTGGTTACTTTATGCTTGATAATGCATCTTCCAATGATGTTTGCATATTATCCGTCTGCCAAAAGCTTGAGTTAGCTGATGGCTTGGTCAGTCAGCAAAAAGCTCGACGTTTACGCTGTACAGGGCATGTGCTAAACTTAGTCGTCAAAGCTTTTCTCTTTGGTACAGATGCAGAATCATTTGAAATCGATGTCTCTGCAGCTCATCAGTTATCAAACGAGCAGCGTGAACTTGAACTTTGGCGGCATAAAGGTCCAGTTGGTAAACTTCACAACACTGTTCACCATATACGCAGAACGCCCCAACGGCGAGAGGAGTTTTTCTGAATCCAACGGCAAGAAGGATTGGAAATTGAGCAGCTGATGGTTGTTGCGGATAATGCCACATGCTGGAATTCAACATACAGCATGATTGAGCGGGCTATGCGTTTGAAGGATCCAATAGATCTCTTTGCAGCAAGAAGTTTCGACAAAGATATAGCTCAAGATCAACTGACATGGGATGACTGGGATCAGCTTACACGTATTCTAGCTTTATTGAAACCATTCAAAGAGTTAACACTGCGCATGGAAAGCCAAGCCAAGGATGGAAAACGTGGATCAATATGGGCCCTTGATGGAGATTCTGCTGCATCATCTTGAAGCTGCAAAACAAGATTATGAACACTTAGGTTACGATAACATTACGGTTTGCATCAATAACGCCTGGAAATTACTCGACAGATATTACAATCTCACAGAAACATCACCAGTATATGTAGCAGCAGTTGTCCTAAATCCACAGCTTAAATGGAGCTTTCTTGAGCAACTTTGGGAGCACCGCTCTGATTGGATATCTGAGGCTCATAAAGCTGTCGAGCATCTTTGGACTACAAGTTATAAAGACCGCAATCCCAAATTGGCTGGGACAAGCAGGGAGACACGTGTTACAGTCCCAGACATGGATATACTCGAGCAGTTTTTATCCCAGCGATTAGACTGTAGACCGCTGGCTCAGCTACTGGCAGACGAGTATGAGGATTACTGCTACATCAAACCAGAAGCTCATGTTAGCAATATCATCCAATGGTGGAATGACCATTCTACTCTGTATCCAGCATTGTCGAGAATGGCGCTAGATATCTTGTCAATACCAGCCATGTCAGCAGAAGTTGAGCGGGTGTTTAGTAGTGCTAAACTGCTAATCTCAGACGCTCAAAACAGACTCAAAGAAGATATTATTGAGGCATGTGAATGTCTCAAGTCATTGAATACTGCCGGCATGTATCGTAGCTACAATTAGACTTCAATCTATTCATTCAAATCACATCCAATTCCCACCCCTTGGCAGACTGTCTATTTGGTCTATTTGGTCTGCAGACCAAGGCAGATCGACTAGACCAGGTCTCAAAATTAGCCAGACCGACCGACTGGGACCCTTTGGTCTGGTCGGTCGGTCTATTGACAACACTGGTTTCGGGTACTTAAGGAAACAGACTCAACGGGGTTCCCCCTTCATCTTTTTTGTATCCTTTGTAGTAGACCTATAGGATAGCATCCGTTTAGCCTCCGACTCGCACTCTCATATGCTATTACTGTGAGCTGGGTGCCCTGTGTCCTTACAGAGGGGTGGGTTACGTGACGCGATTTACGCGTCAAATTGGGATTCGGTTAATAGCAGTGGTCTAGTAACGTTTGCAATGGCGTAATGAGCACCATGGCGTAATGAGCACCAAAACCTGAGTCCTCTGACTTCAAATCAATTTTCAACTATAATACAACTAAGCGTAACGTACATGTATAGCGAAAGCGCCAAACAAGCGAAAGCGCCAAAATGATGCGGTGACCAAACCCCCCAACTAAATGTTAAATTCCTCAACAACAAAACATGCCCCATAAAAACGATGAAAGCCAATTAGTGCTAGCTATCCAGGCTATGCAAAGCGACCCAAAGTTACGCCTTCGAGTTGCTGCTAGGATCTATTCTGTGGACCACCGCAAGCTAGGTCGTCGTCTAGAAGGTGTACCTTCACGACGCGATATCCAAGCCAACTCACGGAAATTAACTAACCTAGAGGAGTCCGTCCTTGTTCAGTATATACTCGACCTAGCTGCCAAAGGGTTTCTTCCTCGGCTGTCTGTTGTTGAAGATATGGCAAGTCGACTACTTGCAACACGCGACGCGTCACGCGTTGGGTCGCGTTGGGCTTCAAACTTTGTTAAGCGGCGTGTAGAGCTCCAGACACGCTTTCAGCGCAAATACGACTACCAGAGGGCTAAGTGCGAAGATCCAGAAGTTATTAATGGCTGGTTTGAGCTTGTGCGTAACACAATTGCGAAATATGGTATCGATGAAGCAGATATCTACAACTTTGATGAGACTGGGTTTATGATGGGCGTTATCTCAACTGCTATGGTTGTAACAAGCTCAGACGGGCGGGCAAAAGCAAAGAAGGTACAGCCTGGTAATCGGGAATGGGTTACAGTAATCCAAGGCGTTAGTTCTCAAGGTTGGGCAGTACCACCATTTATCATTTTTGCAGGCAAAAACCACCTTACATCTTGGTATGAGAATAGTGGATTTTCAAGCGATTGGGTGATTTCTGTTACTGAAAATGGCTGGACTACAAACGAGAGAGGCATGGATTGGATTCAGCACTTTGAGAAGCATACAAAGGCCCGGAGTGTTGGTGGTTATCGCTTGTTAGTCCTTGATGGTCATGAGAGCCACCACTCAGATGAGTTTGAGGAGTACTGCAAGGAACACAACATTATTACGCTTTGTATGCCTGCTCACTCTTCTCATCTACTCCAGCCACTTGATGTTGGCTGTTTCGGCCCGTTAAAGCAGGCCTATGGTCGGCAAATTGAAGATATGATGCAGGCTCATATTTCTCATATTACAAAGGATGACTTCTTTCCTGCCTTCCACGCTGCATTTAACACTACAATGACGGAAAGTAACATTTGAGGCGGGTTCCGAGGGGCAGGGCTTCTTCCATTTGACCCTGAGAGAGTGATATCTACACTTGATCTTAAGTTAAGGACACCAACGCCTCCAAGCTCCCGCCCAGGTACTGCTCAACCTTGGGTTTCTCAGACACCAAACAACCCAATTGAAGCTATGTCACAGTCTACATTTATTAAAACTCGGATTTCACGCCATCAAAATAGCTCTCCAACCTCAATCTATGCAGCTGTTGACCAGTTTACAAAGGGTGCATCGCAAATAATGCATCAATTAGCACTGCTAAAGGGAGAGAACCAAAACCTACGACAGGCAAATGAAGTACTAAGCAAGCGCCGGAGAGCTAGGAAAACACGACTACAGCAAGGAGGATCACTTAGTCAACAAGGGGCGCAAGAGCTACAGGATGAGAGGGATGTTGTGCAGCAGGTAGAGCAGGAAATAAGGGCAAGCCGTGGTCGGAAGCCAAGGGAAGAAACCCGTGCCCGTCGCTGTGGCAAGTGTGGTGAGACTGGGCACAATGCGCGCACGTGTCAGATTGTAATAGACACCTCTGAGGAAGAGGACTCCGAGTAGTTTCAATTGATTTCTAATGTTGTGGTAGATTTATCGCAATGTTTGTCGTGAGGGTAGATAATTTTGGCGCTTTCGCTTGTTTGGCGCTTTCGCTTGTTTGGCGCTTTCGCTATACATGTACGTTACCAAATTCCAAGTCAGGCAAATCATCTATAAGTAGGTCCTCCTCAACTTCCTCAATAATACTGTCTTGTTCAACCCTTTGTGCCCGACCTTTACCCTTATTGTCATGGGTCGTGTTTTCAATCTGCGCAACTGCCGACTGGATTTCTTGAGTACTCATCACAATAACTCCTTTTAACGCTACTCTCTTGCCACGCTTATTAGCTCTACGTGCCGATAAAACACTTTGGGTATCTTGTAGCTCCTTAAGTAATAATCTGTTTTGCGTTCTCAAAGTTTCAGCAGTGCATGTAAGTCGTGAGATATATTTGCGTGTTGGAGAGTCAAGCACATTTTGAGCTTGTAACATCAAATTAAGAGCTGCATTTGAGCTACGCAACTCTGTACCGCTTTGTGGAGAGCTAAGGAGCAATGAGTGATGGTTTGGTGTTTGCGGAGGTGGTATAGTAGCGTTTGTTGAGGTTATAGAAGAGCGGGTGTGTAAAGTTGGTAAGTGTTTATATGCATCTTGAGGATTGAATGGATAAATACCCGCTCCTAACCATGCGCTTTGAATGTTGTATTGCGATATTGCTCGTAACCTTGCTTTGTAGTACATTTCTATCCATTCTACCTTTTGTATATGCCTTACTCCAACTCGTGAAAGTTGGTCTGTCTCCTTTGCAAGTGCAGTCTTTAAGCCCAAATACTGGACAAGAGGTTGAAGGATATGTGAACAATGAGGCGGAAGTATAAGAAGATCGATGTTATGTTGCATGCAATGAGCAATAAAGTTTGCAGAAATATGACTGTCATGGCCATCTGCAATCAAAAGCCGTGGTTTGCCATCTGCAATTTCACAGGTTTCAGGCTCAAAAACTTGTTGTAACCACTGTAATCCATGAACGTTTGACGTCTAACCTTTCGTACTTGCTGAGAATCGCCAGTCATAAACGTGTGGATTTGTACACCAAGTGCTGTCGATAGTTGTAGCTTTGAAAATCACAAGTGGTGGCAAAACGCGTTTATCTGCACTCAATGACCGACACCCACTCTTGACGGCCAGGAACAACTTTCCAATGCGTACGTATAGTAGCATCAACTACTACACGGTTCGTTTGGCTTGTACCAATCCCAAACCCTGATTCATCCATGTTATAGATGTTACATAACGCGTAGTTCTGTTCTTGCGACTTCGCTTGCAACACTGCAAACCAATGTTCAAGTGCTTCGAACGTTGCTTCTTGACGTCTTGCAGACTCGATTTGTCGAGTGGTAATTGTAGCAAGCTCTATATGACGTTGAATAAAGCGTTGGATCCATTCTTTGCCAATTGGTGGGTATCGTACAATTTGAGATGACGTGTCGTTAACGCATTGCACTCTTTGAATCCTGATTTCTTCCGCCAATTCCTTTATTAGCTGGTGTCTAATAGGGCGTCCTATCGATGAGAATTCCACTTAACCAAGGTACTCTCTTCAACTGTAGATAAAAGTTGTTGGTTTTGTCATGCTTGCGCTCGAGAATAGCCTCCTGACACGCGACGTGTCAAAGTCATCCGATTAACTTGAAAGTGTTCTGTAGTAGCGTTTAAGCTTGTAAACTGTCGATTCTGGTAAGCTATTATAGCTTCAGCTAGCTATACGAGCTTCGTTCTCTTGAACCCGGACGCTCTTGCGTCTCGCCATTGTTGTAGTTTACAAGTTTGAAGTTGCAAGGTGGGGGTTTTGGTGCTCATTACGCCATGGTGCTCATTACGCCATGGTGCTCATTACGCCATTGCGAACGTTACTGTAAATAAAACGATACTGCTGATGTAGCAAGAGGTCTAGACAATGCAAATGAAAGCAAGAGGGGAATGGCAGTTCAATAAATTAATTCGACTCTATATACATACACCTTATCTAACGGTGTCGGAAATGGAGCCGCCCTGTTGGTGTTTTACAATAGCTATCAAAGCTGGACCGACAAGGCAGAATCAGACCTGGACCAACCGCAGAGACGTTATAGCTAACAAATGTAATTTTAGTAATTAACAAGCGCCCTGAGAGTTTTACGGCCATAGTGGAGCCGTGTGGCCGTTTTGTAGGCGGGCGCTTATATGAAACGCTCATGATGGTATCTCGCGGGGAGAATGAATTGGGCGCTGGACTGGAGGCATACAGAGATACAATTCAATTTCCAAGACTATATCCCCCATCTACATACGCCGAACGGTGTTTGATAAGTTCTAAATTTATGTACTATGCATTAAAACGGGTTCCCATTCTCCCACAGCAACCTTTCTGCGCTAATTCATCCTTATACAACCCTGAAAATACATCCGACAAGGTATCCGGCCACGCGGTTTATAGATCCCTTTCGTATACTCCCAATACTCCGGGTAAAAGCCCGCGCAACCGAAATCGACGATGCCAGAGAGTTTCCCACGCTCGACGAGGATATTTGTCGGGCTAAAATTCGCGTGAGAGAATATCTCGTGGCGATGGTCATGTATGGCGGACCTTAGACTCGACCGAAATATAACATGGTTATTAAAAGCTCTCGCTGTCAAATGGCCCTGCTGGGTCTCCGAGTCGATAGTCGAATGCCGGACCGCCAACTGCACTACAGATAGCTGCGCTGTTAGGGTTTGGGATTTGGTGAAATTGGGTGACGCAGCTCCGTATATCAGCTGCTAGTTGCGACCGTTCCGCGTACGAGTCGCTCTGAATAGCCTCTTCTAGTGGAGTCCCTGGTACGCGAGTCATCACGAGATAGGTCTCGCTCTCAGTTGTAAGCAAGTCTATAAGCCTCGGAGCTGCAACTTTTGTGTACTGCTCAACAAGCCTCAACGCAGGCCCTTCCCCGCTCGGTACAAACTTGCCTGGACCATGCTTGATGTACAATCCAAAAGGTACACGTTGCACCCAATTAAGCGTCCTCCCATACATTTTATTCCCAACTTTTAGAAGAAGCCGGTACGTGAGCGCGCGAGTCCAGCGGGGAAAATGGAGCCACAGACGCCTAAACATAGGAACTGTGCAGCTAACAACCCTGCGAAATGTCGTCTTGCAGCTGTGCCAGAAAGCGTTTCCTGGCCAGCCGCGCTGTATCTGATGTTGAACTTGGACCCATCGTAGAGAGTTACAGAAACGGGAATGGATGCTAAAGAGAAAGGCGCTTGGGAGAGGCAATCCCTGGGGGTCCTTTGTAGAGATACTAACGACCTCAAGAAAGCGGACTATCTTCCCCTTGTCGTTCTCGATCCCAACGAAAGGACGAACCAACCCATAGCTTAACATATACTAAGAATGCCAGGTTAGCATTTTCATGCAAACGATAGAGATTGCCTACCTTGCAAGAGCTATTTTCCAGGCCGTTACCAGATTCGCCGGAAATCCAGTCAGGAAGGATCTGAATTCGCCCCAGCCTAAAGGCAGCAGCAGCGGTACCTGCAAGTGTCCAAGTGTTCCTAAGCTGGCTTAGATCATCTGAGGGAATATTCAGCCAGTTGGATAGCTGCCGCAGTTCACTCGCTGTAATAAATACCGCGAGTATCTCGCGTAATGAAGCCTGGAACCGTAATTACAGAAGCATCAAGCATTTATTTAGGAAGCAACGTACGCCCGAGGGGGTTTTTAGGCCCGCAACAACATCTGTGGGAACGATGCGGACAGGCATAGGGCTACTCTACTCCAGCCGAAGACATCCCACCATACTTTTGATCGCTTCGTAATGCAGCATAATCGTGCCACAACCAAGGACTTTGTCGCCGATGATACTTGGGTTGGCGATGTAACTAAAAGAGATCTTAGTTGGCCAGTTCAACGCTCTACATCGTTCCACAAGCCTTTTCCAGCCTTCAAGGAGATTATAGAGCTCAGTTTCCATGTGTATTAAATATTTGCCATAGCGGGATGCTCGCTGGAGGACATATAACGCCGCGGCTTTGGGATCAACTGCGTCTTGCACGAAGCATGATAATAGCCTATGCTCAGGTGGAGAGAGGGTAAGAGAGGTAATCGTAGATAATGCTCTCTGCACATCTTCCTCGTGCAATGCAGCCTGCATTGGTAGGGCCACGGGGCTGGCCGGTGTTTCTTTACATAAAGAGACGCGGACTGTCTATGCGGAATGTGCGCGTCGAAAGAATGTGGGTGGATGGACGCTTCTCCTGCGAACCTGCAACGGTGATATATTTAACTTTTACGCTTTGTATACATCACCGTCGAGGTATGCGCATGCCTTGGCCCCTGTCACCATTCACTATTAGCCGCTGAAATTCAATTGTCTTACCGCCGCTAGCTAACGCTAGCTGTACGACGATCGATACAACATAGCAACGATCGTGGAATCGTTCATCAACAATATAGGGGCACAAACCTTTAACATAAATGGCTATGACCCTTAGAGGTTTTTGTACAACTTATTCGATTACTATAGTTCCGAAATGGACAACCTGGCGACTATAACGGGGAAATGGGTACCGGCGGATCAACTGGTACGTAAGGGACCCACCCAGCAACATGTCTTGGCGCTCTGCCTCGGAAAACATTCTCACTCCAAACGCTCCTATACATGTCTTCTCTGGTGTGATCAAACGGATTACATTTTGCACTGCAGATTAAACTAGGCGAAACTCTTCATACTATAAGGCAATCTCGACACAGTTTATTGTCAAAGTCTGATATATTCGTGCCCCCTTGCTTTCTAGCCTGCTCGCCGGTGCAGACGAACAACACACCTTCACGATGACACCCGTTCAAATTGCGGTAGTAACAGTCGCCCCTGTAAGCCTTCTTGTTGCGTTTCAGGCCTCAGAGAATACAGCTAACGAACTTCATCACTACAGCTCATCATCCTCCTAACAGCACTCGCTGGGTACGTCCTCCCTACTCACCTATCACACCCAGCTCACAAACGCTAATATCACCAGCTACGCCTATACCCAAATCCGCCTCCTCTCCCTCCCCATCCCTCTCACTCTCCCCGTCCTCATCACCCTCCTTCCTCTCCTCACCACCCTCACGACAACCTACTTCGCCCGCCTCCTCCGCCCCTCCAACCTTCCCACCTTCACCACTCTCCTCACTCTAATCACCACCTTCGAAACTGCCCTTGCGACTTGGGCACTCACATACCTACCTGCCAGCTGCGGCCCTGAAGAGCGCTGGGCGGCTCTATACCGCGCTAAGGATGCGGATGCGATAAGGAGAATCCAGGATCGATGGGCGTGCTGTGGTTTTAATAGTGTGGTGGATCGGGCGTGGCCGTTTCCGCATGGGAAGGACGGAGATGAGTTCGGCGCGGACCAGTGCAAGAGGGTGTTAGGGAGGGAGGTTGCGTGTGGACGGGTTTGGGGGGAGGAGGAGAGGAGGATGGCGGGGATGTTGGCTGGGGTTGCCGTGGCGGTTTTTGTGGTTAAGGTGCGTGATCTCGCCTGTGGAGGCCGTCCACTTGTAGTGGTTGTGTAGCAACTTGCTAATCGTTTCAGATGGTTGTGCTCATTACGCATGAGGAGCACCGCATGGACTCGACCTGCATGGATGCGTTTCTTAGGTGGTACGGAGCCTGGCGACCTCGAGGATTCACGCGGGGGTCGGGAGAGCGGGAGGTTGTTGATTGGAGAGGGTGGGCGAGTGGAAGAGGAGTATCATGATGAGGAGGGAGATGTTGATCGTGCTCTTCGGGGAACGGATGCGGATGCTGAGTCGGCGAACCGCCCCAGACTTGAGCCGTCGGGACTGACGGGAGATGGGGCACAATGGCGGGAGTGAATGGCGGAAGTGAGCCCACATTTCAACTGCGACAAGCTCCGCTTTCGCACCTTCCCCGGAGTCGTTCGAGCCTTTAATATAATCATCGATCGCGCCTTCTCTAAGCTCCCCGTTCGCACTTGCCCTGGGAACCTCGTTCCTGTCTTCCTTCAACTCTTCGTCTGAGGCCCCCTGTCACCATGTCTCTCCTCATCCCCATCTCCCTTTGCCAGCAGCTGATCACCTCAGCTTTTCAGGCCTCAAAGCAAGGGCGCCAATGCCACAGGGCCAAAAAAGAACAGCCGCATTACCAAGCATCAAGCATAAACTCGCGTGAAGAAAGAGCAACATCACGGAAACTCCATGACCAAGCACCAAGCAGCGCCTGGCACGAAATGAGAGCCCCTTTGTACTACGTACCACCTCCGTCTCTACTTCTCCCGCAAACAATCAGGGGCCTTGGCACGAGGAAACTTCTGTACAACTGACCTGCGACAACTATCCTCTGTATAACGCCCATAGTGACCTTTCGGCGAATACGGAAATAGACTCGTTACGCTCGGCGGAGCTGAACTCATCTGATACTTCCGAGTCGCACAGCCCCGCGTGGCCGTATCACCCCGAGTTCATCCACCACCCCGTTCACGCGTAACTCCAGACATCGTCAGGGGTGGACGAGATAATATCCCACCGACGACCACGCAGCCCGGCGCTCGCCACATCCCGCCAGTTCCTGGTATCAGCATGGCTCCAGCGTAGATCCTGCGGAGGGGTCCGTAATGCGGGAAAGTGATAGAGGCTGGACGCTGCCAATAGGGTGGTGTTGGCGTACTGGTGATAGGGGTGGGCGTGGGAGCGATATGATAAGTCGGCGTTGGGAGAGATATGGGCGGAGCGCCGATTCGCCGATGGGCGGGGTGGCGGTCGCGTGGCGGTTCGGTGGCAGGGTGTTGGGGGGTACGAGCCGAGGTTTGGCCTAGATCGGAGTCTTTATTAGTGCGTCGGTTTTATTGTTTTATCGACCCTTTTAATTGTTTAACTGTCTTAATTGATTATTTTCATTTTATCTCGGCGTTGCCAACAGAATAGAAGTTAAGTTATGGAGTACAGCACCTTCTATGTATGGTATTGTACACGGCATGGAATCTGGCAGCAGCGATGATTAGTTCGAATGGTTATGGGTTCTAAGAGCTTTCTATTACAACACGCCAAAGTGTGTAGTACATACTTGTGAATCATCACCCCCCACGTTGCTGCTCTTCCTTACTACAGTATGGCCCCAAAAGTATACGTACGGATCTGTGCTTTTCCCATACAAAAAACGCTCGTTTACTGCAATCAATTTAAGCACCGGCCCGTACGTAAAACTTATGGCGCCGTACCTGTCTTTCTGCTTTCTAAGTGGTCTTAGAGCCCGGTCTGATAACCATTGGCTTGTGGTCCTCGCGTGCCTGCTCCCCGCACTTAGCACCCTAGCTGACCCTATTCGACTCTAGGACATTTAGTTGGCCGAATCCTCACCGAACTCCACCCGAAGAAGTCCATACTAGAAGCACTAGCTCTACTAGCCCTACCATTTTAATTCGACTTAATACTTCTTCCGAGTTGGTCTCATCTCATGTCAGAAGAAAACTAAAAGCTTTTTTCGTGCACAACCTTTGTAGGTCCCGCATCCTGTGCGTGGTAAGTCATTTCTAATCCCAATTTCATGGTCTGCATAAGATCGAGATAAGGCACCTCGGCCGGAACCGTCACCAGAATTTTCTTCAAGCCTCTCTGCTCATGGCCACATGAACCGCGATTGCTGCTCCTTTCTCATACGCGCCGAATATTCATAGTCGCGTCCGTCGAGTGCCGGCTCTCAGACGCTGACTTTCTACATAAACAGCAGTCTTCCCTTGCCTAGGCACTAGGATCTTGTTCTTGCACTTCAGAGTTTGCGCCGGACAGCTTCTCTAATGCACCACTTCCAACATGAAGGACTACGCGAAGATCATCAATGATCGCGTTGCGAGGAGCTTCGTCGGTCGCCGCTTCCGCCTCGAGGGCTCGGGACATGTGAGTACCCGGTCTCTGCGCCTGTGCTGCAAGAATCTAACACCGCACAGCGCTATGAGAGGAAGAACTCGCGCTTCCTGACGGAGATCAGAGCCGGCCTGGCGACCTTCTTCGCCATGGCCTACATCATCTCGGTATGCTCCTCTACAGCCACTTTCGGAGCGACAACTGACGGTGTCTAGGTCAATTCCACCATCCTCACCGATAGCGGCGGCCCCTGCGAGTGCCCCGCAGGCATGACGAGTTGCGACGACGACCCAGGCTACCAGTCCTGTCTTGCGATCATCCACCGCGACTTCGTCACCGGCACCGCTGCCATTGCCGCCCTCACCTCCGTCATGATGGGACTCTGCGCGAACATGCCGATTGCCCTGGCGCCTGGAATGGGGTTGAACGCCTACTTCACATATACAGTCGTCGGCTTCCACGGATCGGGACCTGTCTCATATAACCTCGCGCTTACTGCAGTTTTCGTGGAGGGATTGGTGTTTGTGGGACTCTCGCTGCTGGGACTGCGCCAATGGCTCGCGAGATCTATCCCAGGCTCCATCAAGCTGGCCTCGTCTGTCGGCATTGGACTTTACTTGAGTAAGTTCCGTCGGCTTCTGAGACCAATACAGCGGATGCTAATTTATCAGCTATTATCGGCCTGGGCTACAGCGCCGGAATCGGCCTCATCACTGGAGCGAAGAACACCCCCGTTGAGCTTGCTGGTTGCGTTGCATCCGCAATGGTGGATGGCACATGCCCGAACTCTACGAAGATGCGCTCTCCCACCATGTGGATCGGGATCTTCTGCGGTGGCATGCTTACTGCCCTCTTGCTTATGTACAGAGTTAAGGGCGCGATTATTGCTGGTATCGCTTTGGTGGCGATCACCTCCTGGCCGCGCAACTCAGCTGTCACGTACTTCCCCCACACGCCTGCCGGAGATGAGATGTTCGACTTCTTCAAACAAGTGGTCACCTTCCATCCCATTGAGAAAACGCTTAATGTCCTGCACTGGAACTTGAGTGGCGCAAGTGGGCAGTTTGGCCTTGCATTCATCACTTTCCTCTATGTTGATATTATGGATTGTACCGGAACGCTCTACTCCATGGCCCATCTTGCCGGTGCGATCGACCCTGTCACCCAGGATTTTGAAGGCTCTGCAGTAGCTTATATGGTCGATGGTAAGCCACATCCCCAACTCTCCTTTGTACTCCACAAATGCTAACCCACTCAGCCTTCGGTATCACAATTGGCTCCCTCTTCGGCCTTTCCCCCGTAACCGCCTTCATCGAATCCGGTGCCGGCATCTCCGAAGGTGGCAAGACCGGTATCACGGCCATCACCTCAGGCCTCTGCTTCTTCATCTCCATCTTCTTCGCCCCGATCTTTGCTTCCATCCCGCCCTGGGCCACTGGCTGCACCCTCGTCATCGTCGGCTCCATGATGTGCAAGGCCGCTGCCGTAATTAACTGGCGCTACCTCGGCGACGCCATCCCGGCGTTCGTCACCCTCGCCGTCATACCCTTCACCTACTCCATTGCCTACGGCCTCATCGGCGGCATCGTCACCTACGCCATCATCAACACTGCCGTCTGGATCATCGACAAGGCCTCGGGCGGCCGCTGGGTCCCACCCGGAAAGATGCACAAGGAGCCTTGGACGTACAAGCCCGTCGGAGGCGTTCTGCCACCGTGGGTCGTGCGCGCAGCGCGCGGAAAACGTGATTTCTGGCACGAGGACGATGAGGTGGTTGAGATGACTACTGTGCGCAGCACCGACAACAGCTCTGCGGGGAAAGGCGAGACTGTCCTCGATGCCTTGACGCCCGACGCAGGTGACCGACAAGGGCGAGGCATATAGAGATGCCCAGGCGAATATACATGGACATGCGTTGTAGTCTACTCTCTTTTGTTCCTTCTTGGATCATAATTTTATAAGCGTACTCCCTCTCCCTTATCTCTTTCGAGATGAGCAGAGCAGAGCGCTAAAACGGCCCCCGTTTTTGCGGAGCTACACGTATATTGTAGAAGCGGCCCGCCGGGTTTGGTGTCCGATTGGGAATTTGGGAATTTGTTTTGCATTTTCGCACGATTTATTCATGTTATGTATTGCACTTGGCGGATTTATTTTCGATATGCACTATTTTTCTGGGCCCTAGGGGTATATAGAATAGAAACTTTATATAATGAATATTTTTTAGTTTCGTTATTTGCACCTTCCTCAACCCAGTCTCACTGCCTCTGTCCTTCGCTCCTTCCCAATGACAATCTATTAGTCCCCGGTCCCTACAATACGTCTTCTCATGTCTATTTTGATTTCCATCTCGACGCTACGTTCTTGATTCGTGCCGTTCAACGTCTATCAGCCTTGGTAGCTGCAATTGAGAGCAATAGGATCTTCTTTCAGCTCAACCTGTGAGTAACCAGAGTATTTACAACTGCGATGTAATAATTGTAATATTTAGTCGTAAAGAGCGCTTATGTTGCTCACAGTTGCTGTAACGAGTAAAACATTTAAAGTGGCGATAGGGCTCGCAGGCGGCTGCTGCTTGTTATACGGCCAGACCTTTTTGCGACCTAAGCATCGTACCACAAATTAGAGACCATGGAAACTAGTCCGTACGACCAAGACCGTGAGAACCAACAGGCGTTAAAAGGGGTAAGGTGTCAGGTTTGTCAAAGTGACCATCGGCAGATCGCCAGCGGCGCCACGCTAGACCCCGCCGGCCGCCTGGGGGGCACAATGACTCCACTTCACTGGACCCGACCCCGCCGAAAACCGCGCCAAACATCACAGCATCCCACAACCACTACAACTATCACCAGAACAACAACGCATACCACCAGCCAATTTACAGCCCATCTACGCATTGCCACAACTAAGACGGCCATAACAGCCACCATGTCCTCCCCCGATCTTGCCGATCTCCTCCCCTCCTCCTACAAATCTCTCATCACCAGCTGGCTCGCCGAAGACTGCCCCTCCCTCGACCCCGCCGGCTACGTCGTCGGCTCCTCCCCTCGCACCGCCACCCTTTTCGCCAAATCGAACGGCATCCTCGCCGGCGTCCCCTTCTTCACCGAAGTCTTCGCCCAATGCGGCTGCACCGTCACCTGGCACCTGTCCGAGGGCTCCGCCGTTGCGCCCACACCAGGCAATCCTGTCCGCGTCGCGACCGTGTCGGGGCCGACGAGGCAGCTCCTGCTGGGCGAACGCGTGGCACTGAATGCGCTGGCGAGGTGCTCAGGTGTTGCAACGGCGAGTAACGAGATGGTGGAACTGGTGCGGGGCGCGGGATATACGGGGATCCTTGCTGGAACGCGCAAGACAACGCCGGGGTTCCGGGTGGTGGAGAAGTATGGGATGCTTGTTGGTGGGGCTGATGCGCACAGGCATGATCTATCGAGCATGATTATGCTGAAGGATAACCACATTTGGGCGCGGGGGAGTATAACGGAGGCGGTAAGGGCGGCGCGGAAGGTGGGCGGGTTCGCGCTTAAGATCGAGGTCGAGGTTGATAGCGAGGAGGGCGCGGATGAGGCGATTGAGGCGGGCGCGGATGTGGTGATGCTGGATAACTTTGGGGGTGAGGGCTTGAAGGTTGCAGCGAAGGCCATACGGGGTAGGTGGGAGGGGAAGAAGGGGGTTCTACTCGAGTGTAGTGGGGGACTCACGAGGGAGAATGTGAGGGAGTATGTGTGTAATGGTAAGATGAAGAGTCATTTTTTGTTTGCTGAGTTTTAGCTGACCGAAGCAGATATCGATATCATCTCGACCAGCGCGATTCACCAAGGTGTGCCGCATGTCGATTTCTCCCTCAAGATCGATCACTAGAGTATGCTAGTTTGAGACTCCTGTATGTATATCTTATTTCTTGCCTACTATTTGAAGCCGTTGTCTCCCACGTGTGTAGTCCAACCCACGTGGGAGACAACGGCTTCAAATATTCAGGTTCTATTCAGAGGTGAAAAATTACTGTGGGGAAATACGCCAGCTTTAGATATCTTGAATCTAGAACGAAATGAAGGACTTGACTATACAGACGATATCGCGTTGCTATTTGCGGGTAAGTCTTACGTTCAGGTTGTATTATACACACCAACGTATTACAGCCTCAGGAGACTTCCGCCATGTTGTAAAAACAATTGCGAATCTCCCAGAGGGGTTGACCCAACAGTTTAGTGTCACTGTGAATGATCTAGAGTTTGACGTGGTAGCACGAAACGCCATTTTGCTGCTTCTAGCTCTTACTTCTCAAGAGTCTACTAACTATGGTATGGCTGGGGAAGCCAACAGGCCACCAAACATCGCAGAGGCATTGATTCACGTCTGGTATTCTACGTCAATCCCCCCAAGTGTCTTGTCTCTCCTTCAAAACAGAGTGAAGCCATTAATTATGGAGCTATGTAGCCGAATCGCAGACAAGCCGCCAAACGCTGTCTGGCGAAAACTTGGGAATTTCCAGCGGGCCAAACCCTTCGCGATTCGGCTTCGAGGATTCTGTGATGTAACAGATGGCATGACGCCTGAGAATGCTACGCAGATCCGCACGGCTGTGACAACACTCGCCCCTGAGAGGGTCGACTATCGGGATCGATGGTATTATAAAGAGGCATCTACGTCTATGCGTATTTCCAAGCAACGGTTTCGAGAGGATGGGTTACTACGACCATTTGGGCACCCACGCGGTGGATTTAATGTGCCAAACCGTGAGTGCCTGGTATCCCCTAATACGTTTAATAACACTGACTTTCACGGCCTAGAACTTTATTATCAGCATCTAATAGCTGGGCAATGCGTGATCAAGAGAATCCCTCCGCGGGATGGCCAAATATGGATATTAAACAAACGCCATCTCTGGCGCCAAACGACTGGTACGGTAAATTATTCTTTTTTCGTCACAACGCGTTTAAGAAGTTTCTGGGTCGCCTCAAGGAAATCAGAGTCAGATTCAATATCTATAACCCGCAAAACAATTGCCTCGTAATCTCGAACAGGGTATATACTCAAGGATTGAGGTACGTTATTACGCACCATCTCTTCGACTTATACTAATCCTGTAAAAGGGGTGGCCAATATCTGCGATGCTTATTATTTCGGAATCCGCGATACGCTTGAAATGGATGAACCAGGGAGTTTAACTGAGGTGGCGAGTGTTTTGGAGCGCACCACTAAATATCTTCCTATTCCAGTCGGTAAACAATCCCGATATTCTAAAAATATATGATGCGCTCAACTCAGGTTCCGATGTCGACGAGAATTTCGAAAGGTAACTCATAATCAGGATAGTCGTTGCGCTAAAGCTGATTGTATATTAGATACATGGCGTACGGGTTTAAGCAAATTACGGCTGACTTGAACGTTGAGATGAAGAAGGTTCACACCATCGTTGAAAAGTGGCTAACCCGGCTGGAGCTTCAGCTAGGAGAAAAGGGGGCCAAAGAAGAGTTTCTTATGCTCTTGGGGTCTACATTCACAGGCACTGAGCGTCATGTGGAATGGAGGGGAGTTGAATAGGGAATCATAACGACACAGCTCAGTACCTGACGTTGCGATGGTTTGGGAGAGGTGCTGTGAAATAGCACATGGCCATGTTGAAATGATGGAGTCGGTAGCTGAAAAACTGTGATGTGACACTTCACCTGTTGCAATGATACAGGTCAACAGAAAGTGAATCGATGATATTACAGAAGCCTCTTCTATAGCTTCCCGTGATCTACACAGTGCCAAAGTAACCCATCCTCCATAGCTCACATTTCCTCACTCCAACCCCGTCAAGGTCTCAAATCGACCCCTAAATCACCTCCCACCATCCCAACCTCCCCACGCTCTCCCCTGCTCCTCTAACAACACAGAGTCTTTCTCCCCTCGTCCCCTTCCACTTCCCCCCTCCCCTCACACCCCCCACAACCCTTTCCACACCCAGGGCTCCAATTCCCGTCCCCGCCCCAGCAGCGAGGTTGAAATTCCCCGTAATCACAAACCCAATCAGGTCCTCCTCCCCTGGTACAAGCGGGTGCGGGCGCTCCGGCACTGGCGGCGGGTATGGTAGAGGCGGAGTCTGGACGAGCTCTTGTGCGAGCGCGCGGGAGCGATCCGCTGGTGTGGCGGTGAGCGTGAGTCTAGTGGCACGGGAGTTGGTGGGTTTGGGTTTTCCCGGTTTCTTTGTGGTGGGGGGGACGAGGGCCAGCCATGAGGCGCGGATGTCGGCAGATGTTGAGGATGAGGGAGTGGTGGCAACGGCGGTGCTTAAGGTAGCTTGGGGGTTCGATGCTGTCTCGGTAGTTGTGGAAATGAGAGGGAGGCGGTAGATGCGTGCGCACGACTGAGGCACGCCGCGGGAGAAAAGAGTTACACGGACGGTAGCCACTGAAGTGCTTGGGATCTGTCGTTCAGGGTCCGAAAGAAGAGCTTCAAACTCCTTCGAGTCGATCTGTTGGATCGGAGCTGACCTAGTCTTCGTTTCCGAGACTGCATCTGCCTCTTTACCTGGGCTCAGCGTTGCCTTCACACCCTCCATTTCTTCCTGCTCTTCCAACCCCATCAGCCTTTCGAAATCACAAGCCCACCCGACGCCAACCTCTCCCACGCGTCCAGCGCCCAAATCCAAGCTTTTCCATGAAACCTTCTTTCCCTTCGGTCGCACATCCCACTCCTTCTTCCTCCTCGCCCTTTCCTTCTCCTCCCACGCCCAACCAGCATTAGTCCCCGGAAAATCACCAGGGAACCAAGGCACACCACGTTCGAACCGTATCTGTCGCAACTCCTGCAGGCCCGCGAAGCGCGGGTTGCCGCCGCAGGACAGAGGAAAATGTAGCAGCGAATACCAAATCGCGGAAATGCATTTCCAGGGCGCGAGGAGAGTCCAGGTTCCTTGCGCGGACGATGAGGCGGAAGTTCGGGATGGATAGAGAAGAATTGGGATGGCGGGGTCGTTGGGTGTGAGGGGTGGAAAGGCGCCAGGGGGTGCGAGGGATTTGCGGCGGTTTAAAGCTTTTTGGGAGGGGAGTCGGGTTGCTTTGTGTCTGATGTCGCGGTCGAATAGTGATGATGATGGAGGGAGTCCGTCGGCGGGCCAGGTGGCGAGGGTTTGAAGAAGTGTGAATGCTGCCTTATCATCGTTTGGTTTGGGGAGGTCTATTTTTCGAGGTGGGTAACGTAGTCGGGGGTCTAGTATTGAGAACGAGAGAAGGGCATTGGGCGGTAAGGATGCGGCATTGGTCACGCCCGCTAATGACTTGAACACGCTCCCGTGCTCTGTTGCTCGTTCATCAAAACGATGTAAAGTCCCGATCAGGGCCTCTGTTGCACTTGGCCCTGTAAGTTCTATGCTTCCAATATCGAATCGTAGATCTTCCACGTGCACAATGGGATATTGCATCTTTGACACACGTAGAACCTCATCCCACAACTCCAGAAACGCAGCTGGATGTATCCGTATCAACAAACGGTGTCTTGGTAGCTTTTTGGCCTTCCTCGATTTGTCGGTTCGTATTTCCTCAGCCTCTACTACTACAGGCGGAGGTGGACACCAGATAATAGTTGCTGGCCCGATCTGCTTCCGCTGCGCTTGGTCGGCTCTACTCAGTAAACCACTCCAAGTTCTTCTCCCCTCTCTCCATTTTTCTGCTTTCTTCCCTTCGAAGCCGATACCAAGTTCTCTCAGAACCCTCTCCAAAGCCTCAGCAGTGCCTTCAACGCCTATCGTACTCATATAACTCATATCCCAGGCCAGCGCACCCCTCTCCCCACCAGCCCTATGCGTAGGCCTGTAACACTTCTGGGTCGGCGTAATCGGCATCGCAAACCTCCAGAGCGGATCACCCGGCGCCGTCATAGTCGCCCTCTTCGCATGGTACATATGCGTCGGTAACCAGCTCTTATGAATCTGCCTCTTCCTAAATTTCGACGCCGGCCTTGGCGGACGCTTCAACGTTCCCGTAGCAGCCTTCGGTCTCGCTTTCCTCCCCAATACCCCATCCGTTGTCTCCGCCCCACCCCCCTTCTTATTCCCCTCCTTCTTCGCCCTCGTTGCCGCAACAAGCATCCTCATCCTCGCCAACCCCTCCTTCCTCACCCTCCCCCTCGCCGTCCCCGGCCTTCGCCGCCTCGCAACAACAGTCGGCGTATTATCCTCCTTCATTTCCCTCTTCGCCCGCCGCACCAACCGCTTCGGCACCCTCTTCGCATTGTGGCTCGCCGTGCGCCGCCGCATCTCCCACGGCACTTGCTGGAACGCCCGCTGCGTCAGCGCGCCCTTTGCACGGCGCATGCCATCTTCTAGGGCGGTGATCTCAAATTCGCGCGCCTTCAGGAAGGAGGCAAGGTTTAGCTCGCCGGCGGAGAGGGAGGGTTCGGAGGCTTGGGTGAGGATCTGTCGCGCGTGGAAGGTCTTTTGGCGCTTGGGGACACGGGAGGTGTTGGGCTTGTGGTTCGGGTTCGGGTGGGCATATTTGCGTTTTGTGGGCTTGCCTGGAGCTTGATTCGGCTTTGGGGTGTCTCCTGGTGCCATTGGAGGGTTGGTGGAGCTGGGGTTGCTCTGAGGCGGTCGTGGTTTGGGTTGCTCAGCGAGAGCAAAAAGTTAGGCGCGTTGGGATCTAATCTAATCTTATCTCTAACATTTCCAACCCCATCTAAAGTCTGAAGTAGGACCATGTGCAGCAGAGAAATTAACACTAGTATTTAAGTTGATAGGAATTATTATGTTTGCTATATTTTTTGGTAACTAACTTGGGACACTATAGCCCTGAGTGATTCGGAGCATTTATTTTACTTACAGTTTCTGTAAACACTGCGGTGATGCATGGTCTCTCTTCAGACTTTTAGGCCGCACGAGTACAGTAAAATCTCGATAACACGATGGATAGCATCCCGTAATTTCATATTGTGTTAACAAGATTATCGCGGTATCAAATACACGTGACTACGTTATCCAACTGTCCAAAGTGCCTTGAATGCCCTCATTTGCCTGCTTAACCTTGACAAGCCGCTCAAGCTGTTCTAAAGTTCTTAAATACTCCGTACTTAATACGCCACTATTCCCAGCCTCAAGAAACTCAATCAGAACTTGTGTGGCTTGTAAAGCTGACTGAGTTGTTAGCACAGGCAGCAAGACTTGCTCACTGCTTTCGTCATCATCTTGAGCTCCAGGATCCTCAACATCTTGAGTATAATGTGAAAGAACTTCTTGTAATGCCTCTTGATCTTGATCCTGCTCTTCACTACCATGTATATTTTCTTCACTTGGATTAAGGAAGTTTGCAATATCCATAGCGTCATGAATTTGCCCAGAGTTTCGTACTTGATTGTACAAGTTGTCGAGTGCTGGAAGAGATTGGATTGAAAGCTGTATTGGGTTTTGAAGCATTGTGCTTTTTCGGAAGCAGTTACATATTGTTGTATCTGTAACATCATGATGCCAGGACTGAAGAAGCCAGCGAATAGCGAAGTGTAAGTTAATAGAGTTGAAGGGATTCATGTTATTCTCAAATGCATTAAGCATGTATTCAAGCCACTGTCGACGGTAATGGGCTTTAAGGGAGGCAATAATACCTTGATCAAGGGGTTGAAATCGACTTGTTGAGTTTGGAGGAAGCCAGAGAATTCGAATATTTGAAGGAGGTGGAGCTGCTTCAATAGCAGCAATATGTGCTAAGAAGTTGTCCATGGTAAGAAGTACACTCCTCGTTGTGCCGATATGTAAGTAAAAGGCTTGTAACCATTCAACCATAAGGAACTGATTCATCCAAGCTTTCTTGTTTGACTTCCAAACTCCTCCCATAGATCCTATATTAACGTTTCAAAGAGCTCTTGGTGTTTTTGCATGCCCAATAAACCATAGAGGAAACCAATCTGATCCAGAAGCATTTGTACAAATAACAACAGTGATTCGAGCTTTGTTATGCTTTCTTCCAGGTCTTGACGTTGATGACAACCCTCTTGAAGGGGACATCTTCCAGAAAAGCCCTGTCTCATCCATGTTATAGATATTGTCCTCCTCAAAATCCCCAGCAATAGTCTGAATAGCTCGCATCTCTTCTTCTGCAGTCTCACTAACTGACCCTGCTTCACCGTGTTGGATGTGAACTCGTATGTTATGCCTTTTTCTGAAATTAATGATCTGTAAGGACACAGGGCACCCAGCTCACAGTAATAGCATATGAGATTGCGAGTCGGAGGCTAAACGGATGCTATCCTATAGGTCTACTATGAAGGATACAAAAAAGATGAAGAGAGGAACCCCCGTTGGGTCAATCTCCTTAAGTACCCGAAACGGGTCCGACTCGGCTAACCTGCCTTTGTAAGGACACGGGGCACCCAGCTCACAGTAATAGCATATGAGAGTGCGAGTCGGAGGCTAAACGGATGCTATCCTATAGGTCTACTACGAAGGATACAAAAAAGATGAAAGGGGAACCCCGTTGAGTCTGTTTCCTTAAGTACCTGAAACGGGCCCGACTCGGTTATCCCAACCTTAGCCCTGAACCTTCCACCGCAACAGGTCTGCATCAACCCTGAACCCTACACCCTTACCGTCCCCCACTATAGTGTAACTCGCTATATGCTCCTCTACTGGTTCGAAACCACACCGAGTCGGATTTCATGCTTGTAGTGACCGTAACAGCTCTGAGGCAGGTTCTTTGAGTATCTAGGTAAGGAGGCATCCTTACAGCCTTCACTCTCACCACATGACTGTGACTTGTATGACTCAGATACCTTCCGTCACTGAGGGAGAGGGACCCCGTTGGGTCAATCCCCTTAAGTACCCGAAACGGGTCCGACTCGGCTAACCTGCCTTAGCTTTTATCATGTGACCGTAACCTGCCCGACTCATATCCTTTCCGTCACTGATGGACAGGCATCCTTACATGATCCAGCCGTAACTGAACTCTGGTGTAGGCTATTCAGGAAGCTGTTCCCAGATCTCCTTCGCCTTCTTCTGTAGAATCTCTGTTGTTGTAATAGCCCCACGTTCCTCTACAAGCCTCTGCCAGTCGTAAAGGACTGCTTCAAGAAGTGACCAGGCTGGCGCTTTCTGTCGACAAGCTTTGGCCTGGTGTGTAGGAGTCTGCTGGATACTGTCGACTTTGTCGTATCGAGGGCCAAGAGATGTAGAGACTGTTGACTGGGTAAGACGGTGGTTATATTGGCTGAAGAACCATTCGATACAGGCTTTCTGAGACGGTCGAGGATATTGGCTTCGGTGCCAGCTTCGGAGTGCATGTCGCTGCTCATTTGTGATCGCCTGCTGCTTTTTTTAGAGGCATTTCGACAAAAGGACACAGGAATACTATAACACGATATTGACGTAATAGGACTTGATATTCTGTATATCGTGATTTGTATGAGAAATCAAAGATTCCCAGGAAAAATATCGTGTTGTCGTGATTATCGCGTAATCGTGTACTCGGTGTTCCACCCACTCGCTTTGCTCGTAGGTGGCGACAGCGATCTGTGCACGCGACAGCGATATGTGCAACACACAAAATGAAAGAAATAAGCCTCATATAGCAACTATGTAACTATATAATTAAATAATAAAATCAATAGAGCTACTATCACTATCTCCACTACTACTGTCGCTACTAATCTCAATGTTACTATCACTATGATCCTTACCATACCGTAAAATTATCACTTTGGATTTTAACCCAACCTTCTTCTGCTCTGCTACCCTCTTCCTCTCAACCCTTCGCTCTTCAATTTCAATTTTCCGTTGTTGCACCTGTAGCTGCTTTACTACTTGCTTTGATTCCTTTGCTACTCTTGCCTCTGCCTTTGCTTGTAATTTTGCTTCCTTCTCCTCATGTAACAGTCGGGCGTCTGATGCATATAACTGCCCCCCCTTCTGTAGTGATTTCCGTGCCCTTGCCTTTGCTGTTTTCTGCTCTGCTGACCGTAAGGTAACAATGTCAAGCTCGGTCTTATAGAGCTCAGCCCGATGTAAAACAACTGTAGTTCCACGTGCAAATGATTGAAACCCTTCTCTTGACGGTGATGAGAAAGCTGCCTCTACTCTCTTCTGCCAATGTTTAACTGCCTGTATAGTTTGCACACTAGTTTTTGGAGTTGAGATAAGGTCGTATGAAGCAAATGGCTCATAGTCTGGTGTTTGATTCCGGGTCTCTTGTATTTTATCAATTACTAGTGGAGGATTATATGGATATAGTCCTGCATTTCTCCAACCTGATTGAATTGTCCGGACAGTTAAGGATTGCCGTCAGATTTGTGGAAGGTCGGAAAGGAACGTACGTAGCTTATACTCATAGTCATAGCTACGTACTGCTTGATCAAGTGCCTTTTGATGGAAGTGTTTGCACTGCTTAAAAACTGCTACATCAAGAGGTTGTAGTAGATGCGTAGTATGAGCAGGAAGGCAGCAAATAACAATGTTATGCTCTTCTGCTAATGTGAGAAAGCGCTCCGTTTTATGAGAGTCATGGCCGTCGAGTAATAGGAGGCGGGTGTCGTCTGGTGCCATATGCTCTGCAAATAGTTGAATAAAATGCATGAGGTATTGAATTGCAATGTCGTCGTTTGAATACCCACTCTCATTAACGATAACAAGAGCATTTGGCTCAAGGTTATCATTATACCATGAGTCCATATGAAGTTTCCCCGGAATGATAATGGCTTCTGCAATTGCTGTACCACTTGCATTTACTCCCTCAATCACAGTAACAGAGAGCCGATTCTCAGGATTATCAACAGTCCATTGCTTTATGCCAATCGGCACAATAACAGCTGTAGATTTATAACATCCAATCATGTAGCCAGTCTCGTCAACATTCCATAAGTTATATGGCTTAATGTTGTGTTTTGTAATAAGTGCGTTATATGTAAGGAAAATTTCCTCAAACACCTCTTTCTTTTGTGCTTGCTTTCTATGCGTATTTAAAGTCTTCGTATGAATCGAGTGGAATTCAGGGTGTGCCTTAAGGAAGCGTTGTAACCACCGTTGCGATGGGATCGTACGATCGGGTCGCAAGTCTGCAACAGCCCGTAAAACCATTGATCGGTTTGCAGGAACCCCACGCTTAAGTTGGTCATATATAAATTGACAAACTGCAGTATCTTGTTCTTGAGATAAAACTCGGTTTTGACCCCCGCGGGGAAGGAGAGGGGTAGTAATGTGTCGTCGGAGTGTCTCACGGTTGACATTAAACTTGCGGGCAACCCAAGTAATTGTATAAGTATCTGGTTGTTTCAGGCCTCATAAGACGGTCAGCTCGACTTGGATCGCTATTCAAAGGCATCGTAGAGGGTTGTTGTTACGACAAATATTATTATTTCATCTATGTATCAAAGTGGCGGTGTACATGCACATATCGCTGTCGCGTGCACAGATCGCTGTCGCCACCTACGAGCGAAGCGAGTGGGTGGAACACCGAGTATCGCGTTATGAAGATTTTACTGTACTGAGGCAAGGAATTGTTATATGAATAATTGTCGAATTATATCCAAGAACAAACATATGACGGATCCAAGTAATACTGTCCGTCCCCCAATACCACTTATAGACATCTTGATACTTCTGGCACCTTGGCGCGGAGTTCCTCTATTATCTCACTCCATACATTATCCTGTATCTCGACCCCCTCGCTACTAGTTACAAGCTCTCCTGGCCTATTATATAGATGATTAGATTCTGTAAACAAAGCTGTTAAAGTATGAGGAGTATAACTTACGTTGTCAAGGCTGTGATCTTGTACCAGCCCCCATGGCATTCCGGACCCAACGCGGCCGCCGAGACGTATACCCTCGCACCCTCTTCTGGAGACTTGCTGAAAATCGCACCATATAAGCGGACTCCAGCGGAAGCAGCAAATCCAACCGCAAAGTCTCGTGCAAGTTCTGATTTGCAGGCTCCAGGGCATACCGTTGAGACGATGACATCTATTTCTCCGCTAGGCTGTGTAGCCAGTGCCGCAACCGACCATGACAACTGGGGGGACAAGGCCGTAGGGTAGAGTTGCTTCAACAAGGCGCTTCAACAAGGCGATCCATGGGTACGTTGGGTTCAACAAGCGTTGTGTGCTTCTTCTCATCGATCAAGACTACATTGGATAGGGCGCTTATATCGATGGTGTTGGTCGAGACGCGCGGACGAGTAGAGTTACTAGAGCCGTGAAAGATGCGGTACGGTTCCCCACGTTCTGAGAAGCCTTGGACTGCAGCAGCCACGCTGTTGACAATCTTTTCGTGCTGTTCCATTGCCGCGGTGCGAGATGAGGCTATTATGAACGGAGGAGATTTTCGTGTTCAGGAGATGTAGTCAGTTGGAAGCATATGCATGCAGGTCCTAAAGAGCCACCGTATTTATTAACGGCAAAAGAACAGTATATCCTGTACTTTGCCCTGCAAGGAGCCATCGTGGAAAGAATGATATATACCCTGTAGTAGGCATGCAGGCCTTGTGATTAGTTAAGTTTCCACCAACAGAAACTTCAAAGTCGTCTTATTCAGCGACCACCTCCAGTAGAGATTTCGAGTTGTCTTGAGTCTATGGTCGTATGTGCTTGTTCTTCGAGTATGATTGAATATGTACTGCTGTGCCGGGTTAGGAAAAAACGATGAATCTTGGCCGTCGCTTCATAATAACCACCCGAACAAGCATCCAAACCTCCCTCGAACATCCGAAACCGAAGCATGTATGTAACATGGATTGCACGGCAAGACGAAGAGATCTATTCTGAGCGAAAGACTTAGCTTTTGGTTTGATGTTTTGGAAACCTCGTTTTGGCTGTTTATAGTGCCTGTGCTGCATTTAATTTGTTTAAAGTCCCTGTCCACGGAGAATCGGCGTCGGCGGGGTGTATAGGCGCGGTGCCAAGGCTATGACGTTACAAACTCACCCATCCCGCCGCGCACCGCTACTACCCGTAGAGCTTGGGACTGGGGATAAGAGTTATGGCGGTGAGAGATTGAAGGTTGATAGGTTTATTTGGGGCTCTGGGATAAGGTTGGGGGGGTAATTGGGAGTGATCGAGCTACTGGTGGTGGGTAGGCTGCGCACTACTCGCTCAATACTCGGCTCACTCGCTCAGTGGGTTACTCAGCTGGGTGAGTAGCTGAACCTTTTACTCGACTCGGTGAGTGAGGTCAATACTCAGTTACTCTGTAAAAACCCGGTGAGTACTCGGCTATCACGTGTAAGATTTATGCATCATGTGAACAGTCCCTCATACGATTAATACTGTTTTATGGTTAAGTTAAAGTATTACATCTATTAGCATCACTCTCGCCATCTCTAGTAAGCTGTGAGAACGAATCATGTATATTCCTCTATCTAAGTACCATGATTATCAGAAGATTATTAGAACGCTATTATCTATTATATATGCTTAAGAACATCCCTCCACCTTGCTTGAGACTTTGTAAGGATGCCTGTCCCTCAGTGATGGAAATGATCTGAGTCGGGCAGGTTACGGTCACATGATAAGAGTTAAGGCAGGTTAGCTGAGGCGGACCCGTTTCGGGTACTTAAGGAGATTGACCCAACGGGGGTTCCTCTCTTCATCTTTTTTGTATCCTTCATAGTAGACCTATAGGATAGCATCCGTTTAGCCTCTGACTCGCACTCTCATATGCTATTACTGTGAGCTGGGTGCCCTGTGTCCTTACAGACTTGATTTAATGAGGATAGTCGTTGAGAAGACGGAAAAGAGTCTGAGAATACTGTCAGAATCAAACAACTCTGAGTATTGAGATGGCATTTGGCAAATTGCTCGATTATCAGAAGGTTACCAGAAGTCTGGCTACGATGAAGTACTTAAATACCTGGTTTTCCAACGCGAAAGGTACTCCAGCGCTATAACTTTAGCAACTCAAGTTCTCCTCTACTCTAGCTCCAGGAACAACATATCCTGTGCAGCTGATACCTTAGCCCACTTTTCCTTATCAAACTTCTTAGAGTAGACAAGTAAGAACGCCTCTTTGAAGCTAGAACTATGAGTGGATATTTGCAACCATCCATTGTCGACAAGATTGTAAGACTTTGGATACCACTGCACAGGTCCTGGTAATTAGGCCCACTTTCCAAACTGCCTGCTCGTACAAACAGAAATATTTATGTGGTGGGATAACCTCGTGAAAAGTGCTATAATAAACAATTAGTATTGCCAGAAGATTGCTAGGATGATCAGAGACGTACCCTTCCTCTACATCAATCCACGGCATATACTCAAAGAGACGCTCAGGCTTCTTTCTCAGCTTTCCAGCCTTTCTCGTATATGAGTGGATACAGCTATCCCAGAAATGTTGCCACTTGCGGAAATTGGACTCTTCATGGGCCTATCAACTATTAGTATCACCAGAAGATTACCAGATTATGAGGTAGCATACATCAATGTGCGCTTGAGTTAAGAGAGCCTGGGTGCTAGTGATCTCTTCATCGGAAAGCTCATCTGGTAGAACAGCCTCGTCATTTAAAATATCTCGCGCTGTAACATAAGCTCCAACTCCAAATCGTCTTCAACCTCAGTATCCTCCCATTCGCTGTTATGATTGTCATCGATTGGAATACTTGAGATACCCTCAAATGCAGCAAGCTCAGACAGAAGTTGTTTGGGCGGAGTAGATGGTGGGGCTTGTGGAGAAGAAGAGGCGCTAATATTCTTGACTTTCTGATTCGCAATGCAAGATGCATGGGTACCCTTCTCAGTCCTGTTTATAGTTAGATTGAGGCTACCAGAGATTACCAGAAGGAACTTACCGAACACAAATACGCTCAACCTTCAATTCATTCTGTAGACGTGTCTTGTCTTCAGTAGAGGCAGCGATATACTTTGTGTAATGACACAGGGCACCCAGCTCACAGTAATAGCATATGAGAGTGCGAGTTGGAGGCTAAAAGGATGCTATCCTATAGGTCTACTACGAAGGATACAAAAAAGATGAAGGGGGAACCCCGTTAAGTTTGTTTCCTTAAGTACCCGAAACGGGCCCGACTCGGTTATCCCAACCCTAGCCCTGAACCTTCCACCGCAACAGGTCCGCATCGACCCTGAACCCTACACCCTTACTGTCCCCCACTATAGTGTAACTCGCTATGTCCTCCTCTACTGGTCCGAAACCACACCGAGTCGGATTTCATGCTTGTGGTGACCGTAACAGCTCTGAGGCGGGTTCTTCGAGTATCTAGGTAAGGAGGCATCCTTACACTTTGCAGACTTATATAACTTCTTTAAGTAGTAGCTCAGATCAGCATGGTCAGCCTTGAGTGCTAAGTGAACAGCCTTCTCATCTTCAGTAAGGTTGGAGACGCAGTTGCGAGCTTTGATAGTATTCGCATTAGTGGAGAGTTCTTCATGTGCCTTGAGTTTCGCCATACTAACTAAACACGTGATTAGCAGAGATCTCCAGAAGTTCTGGCTATAGAATCAAGATAATAAACTTAGTTGAAGTCCTAGTGAAGAGGTAAAGGCTCAAAAGGGAAGAAGAATGTGTAGATCGGAGAGTAACCAAGGAAGGTGGTTCTAAGGTCATGGTTATTTTAAAGTTGCAAACAAAAATATTTGTGAAGGAATATTCACCTACAAAGAATTACTGTTCCAAAAACAACACCACAATGCGCACCTTCATATAAAACACATACCTTTCAACCTCTACCTCTTTACTATACTCTTCTTCTGCAATATTCTTTCTACAAACTCACTGTAAGTACACATATCTTTTGATCTACTTCTTTATCTTGTGTTTACTTTACTAACTCACCTTGATATTAGCAAATGACTCGTACCAAGCAAACTGCTAGGAGATCAACTGGCGGCATAGCACCAAGGATGCCACTTGGATTACGGGCTGGCTCTGGGCTTGGCGGAAAGGGACAGGAAAAGGCTGTGGGCACAGCAAGAAAAGCTCCAGTTTGCTCATCTCAAGCTAGCAACAATCATGCTCAGAAGGCCACGCGCTGCACAAAGTCTAGTAAGAGGATTACCAGAGGATTACCAGAGGATTACCAGAACTCTCTAATAAACATATAGGCACCAAGGCTCTCCGCGATATCAGAAGACAGAAACTTGATACTAGCTCCCATTCCTCTTGTTAGGGAAATCACAGAAGACTTCAAGTCCAATCTTCGCTTCCAGCAATCTGCTATCCTAGCTCTTTAGGAAGCTGCTGAATGCTTCCTCATTCGAGAATTTGAGAGTATGATGTTTAAACATAGTGACAGGGACATACTAACAGTTATAGTGACAAACCTCCTCGCTATTCATGCGAAGAGAGTGACAATTCAGGCAAAGGGTATGATATTGGTTCGGCGTTTGCAGGATATGATGTTTAAGCTGTGGGCTTAATCGATGGAAATGTCTCTCACCCAGGAATGAAGGTCAGATGAGTTCTGGCAACCATCTGGTAACCTGGTACCTAAAGGCCAAAGGTTATAGTGTGGAATAGGACATCAACAATATGGGAATGGAGTTGGAGTTATGGCGTCTTGATCAATGAAGTCGCACCCCGTTTTTAACATAAGTAATGGCTAATCAAACACGTGATATAACTGAGTTGCCAAGACCCATACTAGGTACTCAGCAAGTGAGTAATCCTCATTCAACAATACTCGGGACATGAGCGAGTAACTCAGCTGGGTGAGTAAAAATTCTACTACTCGACTCGTGAGTACCCAGTGCGCAGCCTAGTGGTGGGTGAGATAAATCTACTAGGTGCGGGGCGAGATGAGGCGTAATCACCGCCAACAAACCACTTTCTTCGTCAAGATAAAATCTCAGAGATCACATACTGCTCGAGTAGAATGAAGAGCAGAGTTCTCTATTGTAGAAATCCCTGAGGAGACTTAATTGTCCACCACTGTATCATCTACCTCCTGCGATTCTCCATGAAAGCCATGCCACATTCATCACGAAAGCCATGCCACATCCCCCACGAAAGCCATGCAAAGCTCAGGCACCTCCACACCATCCACCTACAACTTCGCAAGAACAGCCTCAGCACCACTAACAGTGACGCCCTGTCCCTCCTCCTTACCCGCATAAGTCACCTTCCCATTCTCCAACACAACAGCCCAGCGCCCAGTGCGTCCGCCCGCAGCCCATCCCCACGCAGAAGCAAGCTTGGTATCGGTATCGCTCAGGAACAGGATGCTGTCGTCCTTGACGCCCGAGGCCTTGGCCCAGGCGGACATGACCCACGGGTCGTTGGAGGCGACGACGGCGACGATGTCGACGCCCTTGGCCTTCAGCTCGGGGAGCGCGGCTTGGTAGCCGGGGAGGTGGGAGACGGAGCAGGTGGGGGTGAAGGCACCAGGGACTGAGAAGAGGACGACCTTCTTGTTGGCCCATTCTGTTGTTGGGGGGGGGGGTTAGCTTTGAGATCCGTAGTAGAGGTGAAGTTGTAGTAGGGGAGGGGTTCAAAAGGCAGATCGGGGTAAGTGAGGGGGAGTCCTGGGAGCTAGTATCGAGGTGAAGGTGAGGGGGAGTCCTGGGAGCTAGTATCGAGGTGAAGGTGAGTTGAACGAAGCATCGACGGAGACGACATACCCTTGGACGCATTGTATGGCACTGGCATGCCACAGGCCTTGAAATCAGCGTTCTCAGGGCTGTAAGGGACGTAAGAGAAGGTGGTATCGGCCGGGAGGGCATCTCCGACTTGAGGAGCAGACATCTTGATTGATTTGGTAGGGTTGATTGAGGGGATTGAAGTGTGTTTTGTAGTTGAGTCTGGATCCGCAGCTGGATCGAAAGTTGAAGTGTGTGAAGTGCGTTGTGTTGTGGTTGGGTTTGTGAAGTTGTTGTTGTTGTTGATAAGAGGAGGAGGTGGGGTGATATTTAAAGGTCGAAGTGGAAGAAGGTCGGGTGGGGCGGTGTAGTGGGGGTGTCTTTGTTTGATTTGTGTTTTATAGAGTGGTGATGATGATGTGCTTGGCGGGGATTGTATGAATAAGTAAGACTTTTAGTATAAGTTAACTTATCCGTATGTATGTATATGTAATGTACGTGTGAATCTCTTTTGAATGCGGCCTTTTTATGTGTTTGTGCATACTTGTAAGACTTCCTCCTGTCTTAACTGGACGGGCACAGCCGGCTTTGGTGTATCTATTTGCTCTGTTCCTGTCTTCCTCTTGCCTAAAACGGTGCGACATACATAGCTACACATACAGCACATCACAGTAACAGTACACTACTGGAATTCATATTTATGTTTATTCCGTTTATTGCGTCTTTGATCTTGTCCTCTGGCTCTACCCCTCAACCCTTCGGTGACCGCCGACGCGGCCATCTCCAATTCTCCGGCTAGAACAACCGCCTCGCTACATACAACATACAAGAGTATAAATCACTCGCCACAGCTGTTCCACAAACAGGTCCAGGCCATCGAACCTTTACAAACCTTCTATAAACTTATAAATCCCCTCTCCTTCCCTCTCATCCGATATCGCGAATACGACCAAAGCTCACCTAGAAAGATGGGTCCCGTCTTCGTGGCCCATGACGTGGTCTATCTCCTACGACTCGCCTCTTAGTCAGTAAGACCACTATCGCTATGCCGCGCCCCGTTCCTGTCGGAAGCTTTACCAAACACCGGAGATGGCGCACAGGGGTGGTTATTTGGAATTATATAGCTTGTTAAAAGCGAGGGGTATGGATCTTTCTTCAGGCTCGCTGGGCCGCGGGGTTGTTCCGTAGTTGGTTGGTTGGTTGGTGGTTGGTTGGTTGGTCGGCGTGTCGGTGAGGATTGACCCCGCGGTGGAATTGACGTCATAGGTGAGCTATGACAAAATAATAGACCGTGCATTTGGGTGTGTAGAGTTTTTTCATTGATGCTAACCACTAAACCTAATATAATACAGAGATCTTACTAATATGATACAGGGTTCTGATATCCTTGCACCGATGTCGGGGGAGCGGTTTAGTGATCGCCGGTAAAGCCAGGGGTCCTGGTGCCAAGCCCCTAGGGCTGTTTTCAACAAGCTATAGCTATATTATCGAGTTCTCCGAATTGCGGATGTTATAAATTAAAAGTATGAAGGGAATATGAGAATAGGGATAGGATGCGAAGTTATGGGATAGTATTAACAAGCAATAACGGCAAAGAGACAATACGATAAGAACCACGCGTACATACATACCCTACGAAACACTCTTCGATCCTTCAGCTTACCTCAGGACGGATGAATGACTAATAATCATGACCCCTCCCCCAGGGAAACCGTAGCACATATCTCCAAAGCCTCACCCCCAAATAATCTTCCTATGACTCCTCCTCCTCCTATATAAATACAATTAGATCTCTCCTGTACACCCTCCAAAGCTTCACTCTTCAGCTCCTAAGACCTCACTCCCCACCCAATTATCAATACCACACACACCATGCCCACCTCCACCCTCTCCCCCGACCAGCGGCCCCCTTACCCGCCCTTCACCCTCGAGACCGCGAAGCAGACAGTCAAAGCCGCGCAGGCAGCGTGGAACACAAAGTTCGTTCTCATTCTTATCTTCTTCACGCCTCACCGCATCGGTTCTTCTCCCCTCGTTACTTGCTCCTTCCCTCCTTTCATCCCCCTTCGTTCCTTCCTCCTTCCTACTTCCCCCTTCTCGTCTGCTCTTTCCTAATCCCCCCCTACCTCAATCGCTCCTTCCTCTTCATTCCTTACTTTCAGTAACCCCCATCGTCCCTTCACATACCCCATCATTTTTCGCTCTTTCCTCCCACCCCCTCCCGCTCTCGTTCCTTCCCTCCCGGACCAAAGACAGACCCTAACACCCAACCAGAGACCCAAAGCGCATCGCCCTCGCCTACACACTCGACTCCGTCTGGCGTAACCGCGACCGCTTCCTGCAAGGCCGCGAGGAGATCGAAGCCTTCTTGACTCATAAATGGTTTGTAGAGAACGGGTACAGGTTAAGGAAGGAGCTGTTTGCTTTTGCGGGGAATAAGGTGCGTTTTGTCTGTCCTGGGCCTGGCTCTTCTGCTTTTCTATGGCCTATCTTGTGGGGAATTTGTTAGGTGGAGTGGTGGGAAGGGAGAGTGGAGAGAAGGGGGGAAAATGAGGGAGAACGGCGGGGAGTAGATGACAAGACAGATACTAATAACCCACAGATCGCAGTACAGTTCTGGTACGAACACCATGACACCTCTGGGCAGTGGTTTCGCACCTACGGCCTAGAAGACTGGACCTTCGCTCCCGATGGACGCATGGAGAAACGCATGATGAGCGCGAACGACGTGGCCATCACAGAGGAGGAGAGGTGGTTTAAGGATGGCGTCGATGTGGATAGTGTTGAGATCAGTGCGAAGCATTGGTAGAGCCGCTGTAGAGGGGAGGTTGGGGGGCAAGAGAGGGTGGGGAAATGGGGAAAAGGCTGGAAGGGGTCGCTTTGAGTATGGCTGCGGAAAAGGGGGGAAATCTACAGTACTTCTTTTGTTCCAATAATGGCATATACTCAAACCAAAGGTCCTCGCTATACAGATAGGGCTCAGATCATCTCATCGTGGCTTGCTCAACACGCCAGCGCAGGTCCCATGTCTTAGACACCTCACTAAGCCCCCGACTTAGCCAGGGAAGATGGGCGAGGCTGCACTGTGACGTATATCGTATTGCCCCCTCCTTATTATGCGAAGGCTCAGGCAGAAGGTTTACGATTATCTAGCTGTGACGTGCTCGGAAATACAGGTCCGTATGAAAAGGGGGTCGCATACACCAGCAATAATCCATTCTGCAATACAAATAAAGGGCCTGGCTAGGTTGTCTGCATACCACGATATGGCATGGATGCCTCAGATCCCCCGCTTGGTGGTGGCAAAACCTTGTCTCACAATTACATATGAGAAGTGTCGTAGATGTCATAGTTGAGCTCTATAGGCTCTTGAGCTTTCTGTCTTTGTCTAGTTGACTTAGACATGCTCTAATTGCGAAATCAGAAGAGTCCGTCTCTAGGACTATCTTCTTTACAGGGTCAAATGTGTCTAAGATAGGTGCTTCTATGAACTTTGTCTTAAGTTCTTAGAAAGCAGCTTCTGCCTTATCTGTCCATTCAAACGTGAGGTCTTTCCTTATAAGCTCTGTATGTCACAGTTCACCAAGGCATAGGGCGCCAGTTGGGTATTATGAATTAAACTCAATCTAGAGAAGAAAGGAAAGAGAAGAGGAGCACTCGAGCAGTGGCTCGATCTATATACAGCTATTGTGGAGTGAATTCTCTTTAGCGAGACCAGTTCTGAGAATTCACTCCACAACTGAAAACTTCGCTCCAACCCCGGAAAGCTCCCCACACCCCTGAATCCCCACTCGAGCTGCAAGGCGCACTTGATATCGTAACACCTTCAATCGAATTCGAATGCAGACAGAAGAAGATGAAGACCTCACTACATTCAGAACTCGATTTGGATCCTACAAATACAAGGTCATGCCCTTCGGACTCACAAATGGTCCAGCAACATTCCAGAGGTACATGAATGAAACCCTCATGGATTACCTCAACCAATTCGTCACCGCATACATGGATGACATTCTTATCTACAGTGCTACTCGAGCGGAGCATACAGAGCACATAAGGAAAGTCCTACAGAAGCTTCGAGAAGCTGGACTGCAAGCAGATATCTCAAAATGTGAGTTTTTCGTCCAAGAAACCAAATTCCTAGGACTCATCATGGGAGTCAATGGCATTCGCATGGACCCTGCAAAGGTTTCTACTATATTGGAATGGCAAACTCCAAAATCGCTCAGGGATATGCAAGCTTTCATTGGATTCTGCAATTTCTATCGAAGGTTCATCCGAAATTACTCCAGCATCATGAGGCCATTGGTGAACCTTACTAGAAAGGATCAGATATTCGAATGGACTCATGCATGCCAAACTGCATTTGAGCTGTTGAAACAAACACTCACAGAAGCTCCTGTCTTGAGGCATTTCGATAGACACAAGACAGCCTATGTCGAAGCAGATTCCTCAGACTTCATCTCATCAGGAGTCTTGTCACAAAAAGATGATCAAGGGGTTCTACATCCAGTGGCATACTTCTCGAAAAAGCTAGCACCTGCAGAATGCAATTACGAGATATATGACAAGGAATTGCTTGCAATCATCAGATGTTTCGAAGCATGGAGACCAGAACTTGAAGGGACAGATTTTCCAGTCCAAGTCTTGTCTGATCACAAAAGCTTGGAATACTTCATGTCCACCAAGAAGCTGACAAGAAGACAAGCTCGATGGGCTGAATTCCTCTCTCGATACAACTTCCAGATCATCTATAGGCCTGGGAAGCAAAATGGAAAAGCAGATGCTTTGACTCGAAGGCCTGGTGACAGACCAGAAGGCAATGATGAGGATGATCGACAAAAGCAACAGCTTCAGGTGTTGCTACCACCTTCGAGGCTACATCCAGACATTCAGAAACTCAAAGAACAAGGCCAAACAGCTCAGCTAGCTCCAGTGGAAACTCATATCAGAGAAATGACAATTCTTGAGAAAATCCAAAAGTCTCAACTGGAAGACAAATTCTGCAAGGCTACACTACAGAAGCTTGAGAATGGTGATCGAACAAGCAAAGAGGTTGCATTGGCTTATTGCGAACTCAAAAACGGCATGCTAGAATATCAAAATCGAGTTTGGGTGCCAGAAACCATTCAGGTGGACTTGTTGAGAGAAGTTCATGAACAACCTTCTATGGGACATCCAGGAGCTGGAAAGATGCTGCGAGTCATGAAACAGCACTATTACTGGCCAAACATGGACAAAACAATAATTCGATATATCAAAAACTGCCATAGTTGTCGAAGATCGAAACCATCTCGAGATTCCTACAATGGACTTCTACAACCAATCCCTATTGACAGTCGACCATGGATGGATATATCAATGGATTTCGTGACAGGATTACCACTCTGTGAAGGGAACAATGCTATCTTGGTTGTTGCATGCAGGTTGACGAAAGAAAGACATTTCATTCCGTGTTTCGCTGGGCAAGAAGGGACTACTGCAGAAGCTACAGCACAGCTCTTACTTCGACATGTATGGAAGCACCATGGTCTACCAAACTCGATAATATCAGACAGAGGTCCTCAGTTCATTGCAGAAGTCTGGAGTTTGCTCTGCAAAATTTGGAAAATTTCGGCCAAACTTTCAACTGCCTTCCACCCAGAAACAGATGGACAGACTGAGCGATTCAATGCAGAGCTCGAACGCTACTTGCGAGCTCATGTGAACTATCTTCAAGACAATTGGGTTTCATACTTGTGCATGGCGGAGTTTGCTGCCAACAGTTTGCCATCAGATGCAACCAAGACAAGTGCGTTTTTTGCGAACAAGGGCTATGAACCAAGAATGAGCTTCGATACAGAGCAGCAAGCATATCACGAAGCCAAACAAGAGCACAAGAACATAGCTCAGACCATGGCAAAGGTTTGGGAGTTTCTGCAGGATGAAATCACGCTCTCGCAAGCAAAAATGGAACATTTCGTGAACAAGAAAAGGAAACCTGCACCACGCTATCAAGTGGGAGACAGAGTATGGCTTTCAACTCGAAATATAAAGACACAGAGGCCATCAAAGAAGCTAGACCACAAGCAAGTAGGACCTTTTGAAATTCTAGAGCGAATTGGGCAAGTTGCATATCGGCTCAAACTTTCAAACAGCATGAAGATTCATCCAGTATTTCATGCCAATCTATTAAGACTTGACTCGAATGATGCAATCGAAGGGCAGCAACAGGAGCCAGAGCCTCCAGTCATTGTCAATGGCGAAGAGGAGTGGGAAGTGGACGAAATCCTCGACTCAAAAGTTATTCGAAAGAAGCTTTTCTACAAGGCAGCTTGGAAGAACTATCCACCGGATGAGACATGGTATACTGCAGAGAGCTTTGAAAATTCTCCAGAAGTTACCCAAGCATATCACAGAAAATACCCTCAGAAACCAAAATGAGAGCTGGAGACAATTGTTTTTTTTTTTGAAAATGGGATTTCTTGATCAGGAGATCAACTCTGGAGTAGGGGGGGGGTAGTGTTACGATATCAAGTGCGCCTTGCAGCTCGAGTGGGGGTTCAGGGGTGTGGGGAGCTTTCCGGGGTTGGAGTGAAGTTTTCAGTTGTGGAGTGAATTCTCAGAACTGGTCTCGCTAAAGAGAATTCACTCCACAACAACATAGCTGTATATAGATCGAGCCACTGCTCGAGTGCTCCTCTTCTCTTTCCTTTCTTCTCTAGATTGAGTTTAATTCATAATACCCAACTGGCGCCCTATGCCTTGGTGAACCGTGACAAATCTAACTATTACTACTACCACCCTACATAATAACCCTTAATCAATTGTAATTAATTAAGGGCACCTCTCGCACGTACAGGCATTATGTCCCATATTACCACATGTGCTATAGCACTGTTACTGTCCCTTAGAACCCACCTGCTGTCTACTATCACTTGCCACCTCTATACGGACTTAAGCATCAACCTTAGCACTCTAAAGGATATCCTCTCCTCTCGTATAGAGAGACTACCCCCTTGCATTATACACCTCTTGTGCTTCCTTTCCCTCCTCTTTTTCTGTTCATTTGCTGCTTGTAGAGCCTTAACTTCTGCCTTAAGCAGAACAGCAGAATGCATCATAACTTGCACCCCCTTAACAAGGCAGCTAACAGCATCATTAATTGAGCTAGGAGAGCTGTTCTGACGTCGTACAATGTGGTTCTTAATGTGCTCTGTTTGAAAGTTAAGCTCCCTTATAGTTTGTTGAGACTTTGAGGTCTAATTGTCACTCTTAACTATAGGAGGGGTTGGAGTCCTTAAGTGCAGATTTAAGTGAGAGAGGACATTCTACAGCTTGTATAGAACTAGTCCTGTAGCTCGGAATATGCTCTTAATGTTCTGCTCTGTGTTATGATTATAGCTTACAGCTTGTTATGGTTGTTATGGTTGTTATGGTTGTTATGGTTGTTATGGTTGTTATGGTTGTTACGGTTGTTATGGTTGTTACGGTTGTTACGGTTGTTACAGGTGCAGCCTTAGCCACCAAGGCAACAACCGCTAAGCGGACAACTGTATATTACGAGGAATAGCCTCAGCTTCCTTCCTTCTTCTTCTTCTTCTCTCTTTAGATTCAATCTAGCTTATTATTCTCCAGACTGGCTATAATGAGTGTGGTGGCATATAGAGGGTGATTATCTTCCATAAGAGTTCGCAGCAGCTATTAAGAGAGTAGGGGGCACAGATGGGGTTTGGGGGTTTGTCGATGGTACTTTTCAGTCTCACTAGTGTCCACAAGAGCAAGATGCTTAGCGGCTTGTATTCTCAGGCCATAAATGGGCTCATGGAATCAACTACCAAGCAGTAG